GGGGGTGTCTGAAGCAGCCTGAGTCACCGAGCGTGGACATTCTTCTCTTACTTCTTCTCTTACTTGCAAGTTGGGGGCAAGTTTTCTCCCAGATAACCGGACGTGCGGTTGCAGATGATCCAAGCTCACCCTTCAGCCGTTCACATTCTCCGGAAGGTGTGGGCAGCTCTTGGAGCTGGTTCCTCCCCGGGTGACGGTGACACACCCCCGGTGGGCCAGGCTAAGTCTCTGCCCTAATTAGATATTTACACAGGAGACCCAAGCCAGGAGGGTGGATTTATTTTTAATAAAAGAAGATTAAACCGTGTATCTGCGGCATATTAAGGAAGACAAGCCGAAAGAACACCCTCCCACAGTGGGGGGCACGGTGGCCTGGGAGGGGCGTGCTTCGAAATCACCACGCCTCTTCTTTGGGGCAGGGTCTCCCCCAGCGGGAGGCCCACGTGCGGGGGTGGGGGAGGCCGCTCGGGCAGCACCGGGCTGTCCAGCCATGGAGTGGGGAAGGGGTGGTGGGGCTGGAGTGGGCGGCCCCGGCCCCTCAGCCACAGGGGAAGGCTCCGGGTCTGGTTTTCCCAGGAGAAGCCACGTCTCCAGGCTTTCCCCACATTCTCCCTTTGAAAACCATTTCAAGTTAATGTAAAATTAACATAATTCCTCACCTACCCCTTGAGCCCAGCGATTCCACGGACAACGTTAACCCCAAGGAGTGAAAAACACTTGCGAGGCCCCAAGCTCACAGCAGTGTATTCACAGCAGCAAGACCAGGGGACCCTGCCCAACGCGGGTCAGGAGACTCCAGGCGCTCTTTGTGGGGGCCCTTGGGGGGTGGTGCCCCCGCCCACGGCAGCGGGATGGGCTCAGCGACCTCGGGTGGAGGAGACCAGATGCACAGGAGTCTGTGCTGTGTGGGCAGAAACAGGGCAGGGCCTCTGCAGGTGGGCGCAGCACGGAAGAGGGAAGTTTCTCGAAACGGCAGCAGCTCTTGTCTTGGCGGGGCCTGGCTGGCCTGGGCCGTGCTTCTCCTTCTCTCTGTGAGGGTTTGAAAATGTGGACAGTGAGGCGCGTCTGAGGAAGAGGGGCACCTTCATGCACACGCATTGAGCACCTACTGTATGCTCTTCAGACTACAGAGCTGGGGGCGCAGATGCAGGGAAGCAGACAAGCGGCGAGGAGGTAGCCTGGAACCGGGCTCCCGTGCCCGTGGAGCCTGCTGCACCTGGGTATGGGTCCCTGGAGAGGTTGGCGTGGCTCAGAGGTGACGGGCCAAGGCATTTGCCTGGCAGGCAAGGGGAGGTTGCTCGGCGCACTGGGAGCCAGAAGCCATGCGCTTAAGGGTAGGAAGTCCGGCCTGTGCTGGATGGGGTCAGCGGCACGTGGCGGGGTGGGGTGGAGGGCGCTGGCCACTCAGGCCAACCAGCCTAGGCGCATGGGCTCAGCTAGGAGCAGCGAAAGCCTCTGAAGAGGAAGCTGTGCTGTGGTGAGATTGTCATTTGATGAAAATCACTCACTATGGGGGGGGTGCGGGGGGAGGCTGGGCTGGGGGGGACAAGACCCAGGAGCAGCAGGGCCTTTGGAATCGGGCGGTCTGGCTTCAAGCCGCAGCTCCTCACCACTGCAGGGCCTGGGGCTCTGCCTGGCCTGTCCAGGCCCCTCTGGCCTCGGTGCTGCTGAGGACAAAACCAGAGCTCAGGGGTGTCAGAGGAGGCCTGGTCACTGCGTGGCCCACCCCTGCCGCCGGCCGTCTGCTGGACTGTGTGTCCAGGGAGGCGGGATCAGACTCAGCCACAGGCTCTTCCAGCCTCCCTGCAATGCCCAGGGTCCTCGTTGGGATTTGTCTGGAGTCATCCGTGTTCAGACGGGCAGCGAAGGCTCCGTCCCCACCTCTGCCTCTCGGGAGCCCTGCGTGGGAGCGGAGAGAGCTGCTTACGGGGCCCCCAGCGTCCTTCCTTGTTGTGTCACATGAAGGGCTGACTTCCCTCAGCGGGAACAAGACTGGGCCTCAGAGCCCGGCTGTGGGGCGCGGCCGTCTCTCGGGCTCGGTCTCTCGGGCTCGGCTGCGGGAGCACCGCAGGTGCCTGTGATGTTCTCGTGGGGAATCGGGCGGCGGCTGGTTGGCGATCAAGTGAGTTCCAGCTCGGCTTTCGGTCCTGAACATGTGCTCTTCAGCCATCCGGCTTCTGCTGTGTTTATTGGAATGTGGAAAGGCTTAATTCTTATCACATAAGCTCTTCACTTTTTCTTCATCTTCAAGAGGGCAAGATGTGTATAATTGGAATTATGCAAATGCGCGCGTGGAGCATAGGATATTGAAATCATCCCCGAACGGATTAACCAAGAGGGCAGCTCTGGGCTGCGTCCCTGGGGGCCTCGCTGCACCAGCCCAGGCCCCAGCGCCTGGCCCTGCTCCGGGGCCGGCTGGAAGCCGGTATGGACAGAATGTCCGAAGTCGGGGCTTTGCATTGCTCTTGTGAATTTTTAAAGCTGCTTTGATGGAATTAGTCTCAGCGTGTGACCCCCAAGTGCCCCGCGGTCTTTCGCAGTGTGGCTGTCCTGAAGCACTGGCCTGTAAAGGGGTGGCTGCTGAGTTCTGTCAGCAGCAGGGAGCAGGAGCAGCATAACTCCCAGCAGGACACGTGCCTTGGGGTTCCTTCCCGCCCTTCCCAGCTCCCCCGTGTGCAGGGGAACCCCGTCTCCAGGACACCAGCTGCACGAAGGAGCCAAGTTTAGCACCAGCCCCTGGGGGTCGGACGACACCTGACCTCACCCCCCCCACAGACGAGTAAACTGCGTCACTGCACCCCTGTCACTGCAACCCCCATCACATCACCCCCCGTCACATCACCCCATCACTGCACCCCCGTCACTGCACCCCCATCACTGCAACCCCCATCACATCACCCCCGTCACTGTACCCACCGTCACTGCACCCCCGTCACATCACCCCCGTCACATCACCCCATCACTGCACCCCCGTCACTGCACCCCCGTCACTGCAACCCCCATCACATCACCCACCGTCACCGCACCCACCCGTTACTGCACCCCCCATCACATCACCCCCCACCCCCAGTAACTTGAGTTTCCAAGAGCCAGTGAAATCTCGGCGGCGGCTGCGCTTACAGGCCCCGCACCCTCGCGTGTTCTGTCCTTCTCCCCACGCCAGCCGTCACTCAACGAGTCGCTCTCGCTCCTGCCCGGAAAATCTAAACCAGGCCAGTCTCCCATAACAGGGGGTGGGCCGCTGGCCCTTTCCCTGCCCCTGCCCTGCCGGCCGCTGCCCACAGCCTCACCTGCGCGTCTGCCCAGTCCCCCAAAGCCTCATGGACGAGAGGAGAGATGACGTGACACAGCAAGAGAGAAAGCGAAAATAAAGGTCTGGCAGCCGCGGCCCCGTCGCAGAGAACGAGCTGCCTCGTTGTTAGGGGAAGGCAAGTGGACACGACCTGTGCCCGGGCCAGTGGACATGCTCCTGTGCCCAGGCCCGTGTCAAGCCCCGCCGCCGCCTGAGCAGAGAGGGGTCCCCCGCGAGGCCTCGGGGCTGGCGCGCAGTCTCCAAGCCAAGCCTGGGATACCTTGAACTCCCGGATCCGCAGGGAGTGTCGGCCCAGGTCTGGCCGCCCCTGCATCTCTGTGGCAGCTGGGCCGGGCCAGGGCGAGGCAGGACCAGGGCCCGGCCGGGGGGTCCGCGTGGCAGCGATGGTGGTAACAAACTTGAGCTCCGTCTCCTTGTGCAGACATTTGGGCCCTTTTGCACCTCAAAGCAGGCAGCTCTGGAAGGGCCTTTGTCATTTCAAAATACGTTTCCAGACGCTCTTTCTTCAGCTGGTTTTATTTTGCTTCCCCCAATTAAAAGGAAGAGTAATGAGCCGAAGAAACATTTCTCCTAATCCGTTGAGAGCTAATAGCCTTGAATTTTAAAAAATCCTGTGGATCCGAGATCACCTTCCCGGTGTGACCTGGCATCTCCCGAGAGCCACAGGCCCAGGAAGCCGGGAGGGGCCGTGGCCTGGCCCAGAACTGCCTCCTCCGCCCCCCTACACTGGGCCTAGGCTTCCCCTCTCCGTCTCTACTTGACCAGGCGTACTTGGGTGGGGTCTACCCGAGGGCCACAGGCCCAGGAAGCCGGGAGGGGCCGTGGCCTGGCCCAGAACTGCCTCCTCCGCCCCCCTACACTGGGCCTAGGCTTCCCCTCTCCGTCTCTACTTGACCAGGCGTACTTGGGTGGGGCTCTGTCCCGCAGGGACCCGGACCACGCCAGGGCTCCCTGGGACAGGGGCTGTGCACGGGGCGGGAGGGACCGGGCGCCGGCAGGGGAGAGCGCCTCCGGAGGACCAGGCCAGGCGGGACACGGTTTTATCTAGGTGCTCTTCATGGAGACGCTCTAAAATATGAAGCGTTTGTCCTTCTCTCCTGCCCAGCTGTGCCCAGGGGTGCAGGCACCCGCCCACGTGAACAATTTCCATCTCGCCTCCCTCAAGGAAAGCTGTCCCTGGGCACATAGGTCAGAGAGTGCTTGTCGCGCCCCGGCCGGCCTGGGCCCTTCTCTGTGCAACCTCTGCTGCCCTGGGAGCCAGGGCCGCTCCCCGCCCGGTGCTGAGGCCAGGTCAGCTGCTTCCCGCTGAGCTGCGCAGGCCGGGCCTGGTCCCCGCCTGGCCCCCGCAGGCTCCCGCGGGCCCCCGCACCTGCAGCTGGCACCATCGAGCCATAGCCCAGCGCAGCCCTCACCTCGGTCCTGGAGCCTTCATGGCCTGTGGGGGGTTCACGGACGCCCACCTGGCCTGTTCAGAGCTGAGTCACTTTCCAAGCGCAGGTGTCCACTGTGGTAAAGCTCACCCTCCCTCGCCCAAATAGGCGAAACCCCCACCCAGCGCCCACTATCTCCCCAGCCCACCCTGTTTCTGGCCCCAGGGACCGCCTGTGACTGCTGTGGGCCCCCCCTGGCGGGGTCAGCCGGCCCGGGCGTGGGCGAGCGCCCTCTGACACCGTCTCTGCCCTTCCAGGTTGGCCATGGAGCCCTTCTGTCCGCTCCTGCTGGCGGGCTTTAGCTTCCCGCTGGCCAGGGCCCTCCACAGCAACGAGACCACCGCAGCCAACAGCAACTGGACCTTCACCACCTCAGGTAAGGCCGCTTCTTCCTCACCTGCCACTCCCCTCCCCCCCAGCCACCGATGGGTTCTCGGGACCCCTGGGGTGGTGGAGACTGTCAGGCGGGAGAAGACAATCTCTGCCTCTCCCAGTTTGCCGACCATCTTTCACGCCGAAGGCAGCAGCCCGGCCCCGGCCTGTTGCTCAGTGTTGGCTGCAGCCCCCGGGCTGAAAAGTGGCAACGGCTCCCGGGGGCAGAGAGCAGAGGGTTAAAAGCCCTACCCCGTGTGCAAACCCGAGCCCAGCCTCACACCAGCCCCGAGCTGCCACCAGCGAGCCAGTGGGGGTGTTGAATGTGGGCGGGACAATGGAAGAGTTAAGAGGTTGCTGGTGGTATTTGTAGGTCAGATCGGTGTAGCCGTGAGCCCTTTAGGCCCTCTCCGGCCTCTTAGGGCTGCAGGCTGAAGTGCTTACAAGAGAGACGGTCGGCTGTCGGGGTGACTCGGGAAAGAGCAGGTGGGGTGCAGGAGGCGGTGGTTCTATAGACCTCGCCTGGGCTCGTCGGAAAAGAAAGCAGGGGCAGCTTCCCCGGCGCGTTGCTCTGGTCTCCCTTGTTAGGGCTTGAACACTGAGGAGGGGGGAGGGAGCCCGGAGCTCTTGGCCCAGTCCAGTGACGCAGGAGATTAAGCACCACACTTGGTCATCACGAGACTTGGGGAGACAGGCACGACCAACTTCCCTCCAGAGCAATCTGGGTCAAGGTGGCCAGAGTTGGTGCCGTGACTCCCTAAGCCTGGACAAACGTCCTGCAAACGCACAGTCCCCAGAAGAGGGAAGAGTGTGTCTCTGTCGTGGCCAACTCCAGCCCCCGACCCCGGCCCCAGCTAGGACAGCTGCTCGGGGTGCCTGTCCACCCTTTACAACCTCAGCACACCCTGCGCATTAAACCCAGGGCAATGCAGAACCACAGAAAGGGGCGAGCGGCAGCCCCGGCAACTGAACCTGCGCTTGTGCAGCCGCCTCCCGGGCAGCCGGCCTGCTGTGCTGCTGGACTTCGCGGTGTCCCAGCATGGACCCTGCAGACCACCCCAAGGGCAGCATGTCCCGTGCTTGTAGAAAGAGGGTCTGCTCAGCGCTCCGCTGCCCCCTCCAGCACTAGCCACGTCCACGCGGGTCCTCCAGCAGACCCCAGCGCCTGCCCTCACGCAGGAAGAAGCGGCCGTGCGCTTGCTCCCAGGGGGCGCCGAGGGCTCGCCGAGGTGCACCTCTAGGTGCACCCCGGCTGCCTTCAGGTTCATCGAAAACAAAGTGGTCGGCCTCGTCCTGCCTGGATCGAGTGTGAAGGCCACAGCTCCCGCGGCTGCTGCGGGGACGAGACACACGGCGGGTCACTCAGCGGGGCCGAGGCTGCGACTCTGCAAGGCTCGCTGGGAGGGGCAGCGGGTCCCGCTGGCCCGGGGTCCTGCGGGTGACGGCCCTTTCCGCTGGAGGAAGGAGATGGCCGCCATGGTCCGCGCAGGCCCAGGGTGCGAGCAACGAGGAGACACGTGTCTGGAAACTAGAGAAGGGGGTCAAGGTGGGCGCAGACCCGAGACTGCAGCGCTTCGCGCGGGCCCAGGCTGCAGCCGCTCCCCGGAGGAATCTACCCAAACGCCCCAGGCGCAGACACAGACAGGCACTGAGGGCAGCAGCGAGAGCGCGGGCGCGACGTGAGCGCCCTCCCGGGTCCAGGAGCTGCTGCAGCCTGGATCCAGCTGAGCAGAGTGAGGGGGAGGCGCATGCGAGCGCGGAGGGGCACCCCCAGGGCCCACCGCGCGGGGCGGCAGCGCTCAGGGTATAATTAGCACCCGTGGTTTCTTTGAGCGGCTCCAAAAATAGCAGCACCTCTAGGTGCACGGAGGCTCAGAGCCACTGGGGGAGTGTGACCCCGATCTCTCACCAGCCTCTGGTACTGGGGACGTGAGCGCGTGGCAGACAGTGCTGGGAGATGCCCCAGTGCCGCCGAGAGCGGGCGAAGCCTCGGGCCACCCCGGTCGCCTCGCGCTTGGGTTGGACTCTCCCCAGCAGCCCCGGGTCCTCGCGGGTGCACCAGCCCTCGGCTCAGCCCTGGGGACGCGCTCTGGGAAGCGCACCCCGGGCCACTTCACCCACCTCTGCAGACCTCCGGAGTGGGGGGCACGGGCCTAATCGCCAGCCTTCCCCACCTGGGCTCCGGCTCCCCCTCGGGACCACCGTGGTGCGTGTCCTTGAAACTATCACACTGCCAGCGCCAGGCCCCAGGACACAGAGCAGGCCCGGGGCACAGCTGGGGGCCGCAAGCTCCCCCAGGCGGAGAAGGGAATTTGAGTCTGAAGAGTGGGAGGAACCTACCGGGGCAGCCTTGTCCGCTCATCACAGCTCTGGTTCACTAAGGGCACCTCTCGGGGGCCTGGCACCACAGAGGCGCGTTCTCACCTCTCCCGCCCCTCGGGGAGCTGCTTCTTCCTGCTTCGTGGGTGGTCTTTCTGGGGTGACATGGACGCTGGATATTGGTGGCGGGGTGGGGGGTCGGGGGTCACGCGTGTCTCTGTCCCGCCAGGAGGACAGGCTTTGTGTGCATCACGAGTGATGCGGACTCGAGGGAGACCGGGCGCTGGCCCTCTCCCGGGGCTGGCTGCCGATGGCCACCGGCCTAGGGCCGCGTCCGCACAGGATGGACTCACCCTGGCTTTCCTGCCTCGGAGAACGACCCTCGTCCAGCACGCTCTGCTGGGAGCAGTGGGGTCTTCAGGAGCGTGGCTCCCCAGAACACAGCTCTCCCGCTGTGTCCCCTCCTCCTGCCTCCACCCCTAAGCCTCTCTCTTACGGAGCCCCCCAAAGCAGAGCTTGCTCCTGGGGGAACGTGGTCCCGAGCCCTGGCTGCAGACAGGGGTGGCCAGAGGGAGGGCAGCTCAGCAGCCGGCTGCGAGCTCCCTGGGCCTGAGACGGGAATGGAGGGCATTCTCCCCGCCGCTGCCGCACCCTGGGGCTGGCACAGAGCGCCGCCGCCCTGGGTTAGTGTGAGGCGCGTGGCTGTTGTCCGACTCACACTCAAGCCCGTGACTGCCTGTCCAGGGCCAGGCATCCGGGGTGAAGGGCTGATGGCCTGGGGGGTCCCCAGACTCTGCGGTGGCCTGGCGCCAGGGAGAAGGGCTGCGGGCAGGGCTGGCTTGGAAACTGCCGGGTGCCTCTGGCGTTGTGAATCTTCCTGCCCAGACCCCGCTCTCCCCTGGCCTCCTGCCCCAGATCACGACGGCGACTTCTCTGTCCCCCCAGGTCCCCCGGGCCCCGGCTCACCCCAGCCCCTGCTGGCCTGGCTGCTGCTGCCGCTGCTTCTGTCCCTCCTCCTCCTGCTCCTGGCCGCCTACTTCTTCAGGTAGGAGTGTCCGGGTGACGCGCCTCGGCAGGCTCGGGAGGAAATGAGCACCCGCGAGGCGAGGCTGTGGGGTGTGGGCCCGGGCGGGCGGCGGGCGGCGGGCTGAGGACCCGGCAGCTCCCGGCTCAGCCATGAGCAGCAGGAAGAGCTTCTCCCGGATCACCTGGTGGGTACCGGCCGCGCCAAGGCCCGGGCCTGGGACGCCGGCCCCACTCACCCCAACCCTCTGTGTCCCCAAGGTTCAGGAAGCAGAGGAAAGCGGTGGTCAGCGCCAGCGACAAGAAGATGCCCAACGGGATCCTAGAAGAGCAAGGTAGGACCCTGCGGGGGGAGGGCGCCGAGCCCCCCACCACCCCCCGGCCGCCTTGCCTCTGTCCCTGGTGTCTGGGATGTCGCCATCGCGACCTCGCATGGATTGTTTCCTCTCGGGGGTGAAACGGGTGCTTGATCTGTTTCAGTTGGTGGCTTTTTGGAAAGACTGTTCACTTCCTGTCCCTACAGGCTGTGTCACGTAGCGTTTCTCAGTGGGTCCCAACATCTCCCTGGATGAGACTGGCCATGAGGCCCGCACACTCACTTCTGGGGTGGAGCTAGGAGGGGGGACCCGCTGGAGAGGCTCGGGGCGCTGGTCCGGAGTCAGCCCCTGACTTGTCTCTCTCCTAACAAGGCCACGGTTTTTCTTTCTGCACGTTGAGATGACTGTGCGAGGTATGCGAGGCAGGCGCCTTCACAATGCTGGTTCACACCAGCCACTGCCACTTCCTCTGCGGGGCTGCTGAGCCGTGCCGGGGTCTGGGGGAGCAAACTGCTCTGGGACTTCACAGGGAACTTTAAAACCCACCATAAGCCCCCAGAACTCATGGAGACACCGGAGACGTGTTGGCAGCGCTGGGGAGGGGGCATGACCTTGTTGGACGATCATTTGGCCTCCGGGTGCCGCCTTCCTGCCCCCTCCCCGCCCTGCATGTACCCGGGGGTGGAGGGGAAGAGAGGGTGTGGCTGCTGAGTGGCAACTGGTCACACTCGCTGGCAGGCTTCCTGGAAGAGGGGGCCTCGGAGCAGGTCTTGGTAGGCTCCAGAACAGCTCTGCGAGGGGGGACGGGCCCTTTGCCAGCGCGCTAGCAAAGTGATTCTGCTGGCCTCGTCAGCAGCCTCTGGTCTTCACCCACTCACTCTGCCTTGGGAGCATTTGCCCCAAGTCCCTTGCAGCCTGCAGCCCAGCTGCAGCCCCGCCCTGCCCCTGCCAGGCTGGCTTCTCCTCTTCCCCTCGGAGGCGGAGGCGCATGTGGTGTGAGAGGCAGGGCCTCCTGTCCCAAAGGCTGCGCAAAGGAGACTCCTGCCCTCCTTGGTTTCCAGTCCATTCCGAGCTTGCACCTAAAAACCTGTAATCATGCTTCTCTGGCTCCACACCTTGAAACTTGAGCGGGTGGTGAATCTGCCCAAATCCTTGGCAGAATCAGCAGGAGTTGGGCTGAGGCGGGCGGGCGGGCGGAGCGGGGGCGCTTGCTGGGGCAGCCCGTCTCCCACAGGGACGGGTGTTTCCAGGGGCCTGTCGGCTGCCGCTGCCGGCCCGGGCCTGCCCCTCGGCTGTGTCTTTCCAGGGCCCTCGGTCTGGTTCCTGAGCCACCCATCGGGCGTCTGACTAAGCGGCCCCCATCTTTTTTGGCCCCCACAGAGCAGCAGAGAGTGATGCTACTCAGCAGGTCCCCCTCGGGGCCCAAGAAGTACTTCCCGATCCCGGCGGTGCACCTGGAGGAGGAGGTCCGCGTGCGCTCGGCCGACGACTGCAAGCGCTTCCGAGAGGAGTTCAACGTGAGTGGCCCCGAGGTGCCCAGGGCCGGGACCTGGCCTCGGTTGTGACTCTCCCGAAGGGGGTGCGAGCACGGCTGTCGCCCCGTCCTCGTGGTCACCGGGAGAGGCCGGCGGAGCGAGGCTGCAGGGGGGCCTGTGCGGACGCGCCCCACATGGTGTGAAGGCCGGGCCTGGCAGCCTCCGCCCTTTCTCCTTGAAAGCACGGGAGCCCCCAAACCAGCCTCTCCCAGCCTGCCCAGAGCAGGAGTGCCCCTCCCTCGCCCCCGCGGGGCTCCGGCTTGGGCGCCCGCTCAGCCTCCGAAGACCCTTGACTCGGCTGTGTCCGCGCCGCACGGCCCCTGCTTGCTCCCATCCTGCTGCCTGGGGGGCGGGGGGGGGGGCGGGGGCCGGGAGGGCCTCCGTCAACTCAGCAAGGGCAGCGGCCACCCGAGAAGGGATTGACCGCAGGGAACCGTGCCCCAGGCCGCAAACAGTTTCTTTTAACTCGGAACAAAAATCTGAAATGTGATTAGTGACGCGGTGGCCCAGCCCTTCCATCCGCCTCTTGGGAGCTGTGACTGCGACGGGCGGGCGGGCGGGATGGGCAGATGGCCAGACAGACACAGGGGCAGGTGGACAGGTAGACAGGCAGGCAGACGGACGGGGTGGGTGATGCTCGGACGCAGGGGTGGGTGGGCAGTTATTCGCCGGGGTTCTGCTGCTCGGGGTTCAGCCCGAGGCTGCGCTTCCCTTTGCACCTTCCTCATTTCGCGCGGCCACGTGCTGCGCCGCCCCGGGAGAGCACAGGTGCCTGCGGGGACCGCCTGCCCTGCTGCGGCCCGGCGCCCGCTTCCGCCACCTGGGAAGGGGGGGGCCCGGCCTGTCTTCACTGCCTGTCGCCCCCCACCCCGGGGGCGCAGCCGGGGGGCAGGTGAACCGTGCAATCCCGCATCTAGACTCCTGCGGGTCTCGCCCAGACACGGGCCTCCAAAGGTGGGCAGAGGCGCGTCTACGCTGCTTCTTAGCCCAGGCCCCGCCCGCCTCTCCTTGCTTCCTTTTAATTGTTTCCAAATGTGTCTCCTTTTTTTGAGAAATTAGGTCACATTGAAAGACAGCGCCAGGCAGGTTGTGCAATCGCTCAGCCACACAAGGGAAGTTGACTCTGTCTTCAAAATAACTCTCCCGCTTACAGCTCCCGGACCTTTTCCTCTGCCCTCTGTCCCGGTTCTCCTTGGGCTGGAGTTTCTCCCCGGAGACCGTGGCCCGCTGGGGAGGGCGGGCTCGGCCGCTCTGAGTCAGAACCAGCTGGTTCTGCGCCACCCCAGGCGGGGCAGGGAACAGGCGCGCTGGCCCACGTGTGAATTTTAAAGAGGCACAAACGCAGGGCTCGGGACCAAATTTGAATGGAACATGAAAAAATAGTGGGACGATGCAGCCGTCCAGGTGAAGGTGAAGGTCCTGCTGCCCCAGGAAAGCCCAGTGGTCACCGCGCCGTCCTAATCTGCTGCTTCAAAGTTTGATATTTGGTCATCGCAGATTTGGGGGGCACTCATTTATTTTCTAAGTTGCATTTGCCTGTTATTTCATCTTGATTCCTGGGTGCCCGGGGTGCCCCTTTAAATTGGGCCTCCAAAGCAAAGGCCTCGCTCTCCTCCCCCCTCCTGCCCCTGCACCCAGGGAGAGTGGGGTGGAGATTTGGGGGGGCCCTGGACTTGGCCCCCGAGGGTGGCCGTGTCCCTGTTCCAGGAGCACCAGCCCTCTCCTCCGAGCTCCGGCCTCTCCTCGCTCACCCGCTGTGCCATGCGCCTCTCCTGGAGACAGGAGGGAGGATGATGCATCTCCAAGGAGCACAGCCAGAGGAGTCTGGATCTCTGTGTGCCACGGAGCAGCAGCTCAGTGCACTGACTCCAGGGGGACGGCTTGGACTGAGCCAGGTCGTGGGCGCTGCAGGTGTGGGTGTGCCACCCGCCTCGGCACCCGCCCCTGCCTCTCACAGCCTGGACAGGCGACTGACTCACCTTCGTGTGTCTGTTCCTTGCTGGGGTGATGAGGACACCCCCTGGCCCCTAGATTGCCCTAACCTGAGAGAGGTGCGGGGTGCCCAGCTTAGCCCGTGTCTGCCTGGAGCTGCGTCCATCCCCAGCAGGACCCCATGAAAGTCAGGTCCTGGCATCTCATCCACTCGGGCAGAGGCTGCTCTAACAACGTCATCCCCAGGCCCCCAGTTAAATCCCCACAAATGAGAGCCATTCGGCTCCTGCCCCCCTGCCCCGCAGCACCACCCTCCCATACCATCGAAGCAGGAGGAGGGTCTCCAGGAGCCCCAGCCCCCGTGCAGAGCCAGCCCTGTCCCCCATGCTGGCTGGAGCAGCCTCAGGCTCCTGGTCCACCCAGCAGGGAGCGGGAGGTCAGGAACGTGACTGGAGCGTCCCTGAAGTGCTGTCCACCGGGCAAGCATGGCCCTCCCGCCTCCCACCCGCTTCCTAAGCAGACACGCACCCACCTGCGTCCACGGACCCACTGGGGCCTGCTGGCGGCGCCCTCCCCGGGCTCTCATCTCCTGGCCGCCCAAGTAGCACAGGGACGTGAGTCCAGGTGACAGACAGCAGGAGCGAGCGCTGGACAGCTTGGCGGAGGGCCACTCCCCTATGCACGGCAGGGGCCATGTGGGGCAGCTCCTCGGGTCAGAGTGGCCAGCTGCTGCGGCCACCACAGAGCAACCCCCGTGGTCCCAGCAGAGCCTCCACACCCTCATCTAGATGGAGGGAGACGGGGGTGGGAGCCCCTGGTGCTGGTCGGGGTCGGGCCGCGGGTCCACATACATGGAGTCTACAGTGGATGGGCTCCAGCCTGTGCCCCAGCACCCACCCGGCGCCCCCACGCCCAGGTCTACGCCCCCTTCTTGATCCTGAGCTGGCGGGTCAGTGTGTACATAGAGGTGCGGGACCCCCCAGGGCTTGGTGGCCACCCATGGCCAAGGCTCTGCCCTCATGCAGCGTGGGACACAGCCTTGTCCTCGCTAGCCCCACAGACTGGGCACGCAGAAAGCCAGTTTCCACTCTCCCCACCCCTGCGCGGCACCCAAGCAGGGTGTGGATAGGAGGGCAGAGGCGGGGGATGGACAGGAGGACAGGCAGGAACAGACAGGAGGACAGGCAGGGGCGGGGCTGGGAGGCAGTTTGCCCACGGGGCGCTGTCCGCAGCGGGCAGCTGACATGGGCCCGGCCTTTGTTGCTGACTGTGTCTTCTCTTCCAGTCGTTACCATCTGGACACATACAGGGAACTTTCGAACTGGCCAACAAAGAAGAAAACAGAGAAAAAAACAGATACCCCAACATCCTTCCCAGTAAGATTTTCATTCTCTGCCTGGCGGGTGGCGTTTCAACAAAGCTCGGCCTGGCCTGCGGCTCCCGAGCACGTGGCCGTGGAGGGGCTCCGAGTGGGGGCCTGCCTCAGCATGGGGCCCCCAGCCTGTGCTCTGGGGGGGGCGGTCTGGCTGCTGGGCCTTTGCTCGGTGGGGCCACTGAGACGGGATCAGGACTGGACCCCAGCTGGTGGCCCTGGGCGTCTTTGCTCTTGACCTGTGCTCTTGGCCACCGGCAGCAAGTCCCCTGCCTGAGGGGAGAAACGGAGCTTTCGCGGTGTCGGGTGGCTCAGCATCAGCCCGACTTTAACCCCAACGACGAAGGTGGCCACAGGCTGGAAAATGCAAGCCCAGGGAGGTGGCCGTGCCAGGGAGCAGGGTGGCCAGTCCAGGGGCATCACTGGGGGGACTGTGCCTGGGGGTGGCCTTGGAGCCAAGACAAACTGCTAGTTTGGAGCTGGCCCCATGTGAGCTGACTGTGTGAGGCTTCCTCCCCAGCCTGGACCCTCCTGGGGCTTTGTCCACCAGGCTGCAGGACGCAGCCTCGAGGCTCCACCAAGGTGAGGTGTGAACCCTGAACGCAAGGCCTCCCCAGCTCCGGGAAAGCCCCTTCTTCCAGGGTGGCTCCATGCGCCCAAGGAAGCCAGCCCATGTGCTGGACGGGCGTCCGGGTCGGCTCTGGTGGCCTTGTCAGGGCTAGCATGGAGGCCACCTGCTCTGTGGGTAAGAGAAGCTGGGGTCCCCCGCATGTGTGGACCCTGGTTTTCAGCACTGGGTCGAGACCATTCCCGCCTTGTTTGCAGAGGGTTGAATCTGGAATACACCCGGCCAGGCCAGCGTCCTCGGGGTTCCCGAGCTCGGTTCTCTCTTGGTGGCTCTTGCTCTGTAAAGGCAACCTTCCATTATTACTAACAGGACTTGATGTGGGGCGTCGACGGGAGCAGAGCCAATGCCAGGTGCAGGAATTACCTGCACAGGTCCCTGACCCAGGCGTGAAGGTTCCCTCCCCCCCGCCCCAGGGATGTCAACCTGCACCAGCAGGGCCTGCCTCCGGCCACCTTCCCCAGGCTCTTTTCTCACTTATGCCACAAAAGGAAGGAAAGAGGTCTTTTCTGCAGTGCAGGGCGTGGTGGGAACAGCATAGGCTGCCCGCACTCCCCCGAGTTCCTCCTCCCCAGCCCCCCAGGCCCAGGAGCATCACACCAGAGAAACTCGAGGGTCCACGAGGGTCTGGGGGCCTTGCCAGGATGTGATGCATTCCACGTTGGTGGGACATGGGGGGAGGGTGGCCGGAGACAGCCAACCGGTGGCACCAGTGAGACGCAGCTGAAGGGCAGGAGAGGCTGATGGAGCCGGAGGTGCTAGGCAGACAGGCTGGCCTGCATTCTGGATGATTGTGGGGTTCCTCGGGCCTGCTCCCCAGGCCAGGCTACTCCCCAAGGAGGTAGTGCCTGCAGGAGGAAAGTCTCCAACCAGCTCCCCACTCCCTGAACCCTCCCTCCAGCCGGAAGTCAGGAAAACAGATGTGCAGGGAGGTCCAGGCACCGTGGGTGGTGCTGGGGGTCCCCACCCCCCCGAGAGGCCTGCGTGTCCCTGAAGTGGCACCTTTGCTTCTGCAGAGGCTCCGTAGCTGTGATGAGAGAGCAGCCTCCTTTCTGGAAAAGTGCCAAAAGCTGATAATTTTAGGAAATAATGCTTTGAAAGTCGAAGTGTGACTTTTTAGAATGAAAAGACAGGAAGCTGCAAGATTCTAAATCTAACCGGCAGGCTATTTTCCACCCTCTGTTTTCTATAGCTGTCCTCGGAGCGTTAATTGCTCCAAATTATTTCCACTAGTTTTACATGCTCAGCCGGAGCTATTTCTGCCTCGGCCTCATCAGCCCCTGAGCTGGGGGGTCTCATGGCAAAGTCCATGGGGTGGGTTTGGGTGTGGCGCCGAGCGGCCCCTCTGCCACACTGGAGGGTCTCCGCAGCAGCAGGACAGCTCTGGCCTCGGCCCCTGAAGTCCAGGCCACCCGGATGCATGGTGGCCATGGGGACAAACAGCCATGATCCGGGGTCTTTGCCCAGATCCACACCCCAAAGCAACCCTCTGGTTCGTGTCAGGCTGTGGGACCAGCATGCGGGGTGACGCGCCTGCAACGGCTGGAGCACATGCCCAGCATGGTGTTACCGTCCCGGAGAGCCGGCCTGGGCAGGCAAGTGGCAGTTGGTGCTGGGCCAGCAGTCTCGGCCGGGCCGAGCTCTGCCTCTCCTAGGCCCATGGAAATGCCAAGGCCGATTCTTGTGAAATTAGAAAACTGCATGCCCATCATCCAGCCCGGATACCTTTGTCGTGGCGCTGCTCACAAAGTCCGGCGATGAAATGTTTGACATTTTATGGAGAAAGGGTCTCACGAAGGCCACAGTGACAGACACCCACACAGACACCCACAGCAGCCATGACGGGCCCCCGCACGGAACCTCCCGGCAAGTCACACAGCCCAGAAGACACACAGTCCACACGCAGCCCACACGCCCCTCACCCCCACACACAGGCACACACACAGCGCACACTCACATGCAGCGGTTCACAGCACACCCGGCCACACTGCACTCACCCTCACCCCACTAGGCCCTGCTCCGGAACCCGCCCGTACAGAGGCACACGCCCAGGGCTTCTGCTCACTGTCCAGCCGAGGTGGGCCTGAAGCAGGAGGGTCAGGAGCGCAGCCCCAAGCCCCACACCCTGAGGCCCATGGTCCCAGCGGCACCAGGACCTGTCCCTGGACCTGGGATGGCGGCACCGTCCTGCCCCGGGGACGCTGCACCAGGCAACATGGGCTCCAGCTTGGGCTCAGAGACAGCCTCGCCCTACAGGGCCCCGCCTTGTCCCGTCTCTGGCGAGGATTCCCGCCGCCCTGCTCGGCGACATCGGTCCCTCCGGCGCCACTTGGCCCCGTGCGGGGCCCAGGCCCGTCCCAGACACTCTTCAGCGAGGCAGACCGCCCGCCCTCCCGGTGCCGCGGGCCTCGGCGGGGCTGTCGTGGGGACGGGGATGCTTGGGGTGTCTGCCGACCAGAGGCGTGAGCGGCACAGGGGGCTCCTCATCCTGCGTCCTGGCTGTTTCTTGCAGACGACCATTCCCGGGTGATCCTGAGCCAAGTGGACAGCACCCCCTGTTCTGACTACATCAATGCCTCCTACATAGACGTAAGTCCGCGGCGCCTGTCCCTGGGCCAGCGGGACGCGCTGGGCTTGACTGCGAGTCACGACGCACAGCTTCCCCCTCTGGGGCCAGGAGCGTCCGTCTCCCGGCGGTTTGGCCCCAAGTGCAGACAGCAGAAAAGCACAGGTCGTTCCACTAGCCGAGCCCCAGATCCGCTGTCAGGACAGAGCTAGGCCCAGGGTGCTGGTCCCGGTGTTTACGCTACTGTCAGAGCAGGGCCCGAGGGGACCAGCCCCATCACCTGCGGGAAAGTCACACGCAGTGGATTATGAGGAATCCTAGTAATGGGATCTTAAAAGAGCATCTCTGGTAAATATGAAACTGTGAAAACATAACATAAAAGAATCTACATGTTAACAAGTCACACCAATGCCCGCCCGCGAGTCTGCTGGTGGGTAGGTCAGGGAAGGCGTCACAGAACAACAGAAAACCCTGGACAGGACATACCGAGTAGCTTTTATTTTTGCCATTGCTGTGAAATGGATTTCTGAACTTATTTTTTCTGTGTTTTCAAAGTTCCCCGTGATGAATATGCATTGCTTTCCTAACCAAACAGCAAAAATCCTTCCAGCAAAGCTAATTGCGGAAGTTGAGAAGTCTGCGTTTGTTTTTTCTAGGGTTACAAAGAGAAGAATAAATTCATAGCTGCTCAGGGTAAGCATTGCCTTAAGTGACTTTCTGAATGAAATTTTTGTAAAATAAGGTGGCTGACCCTGCTTCCCGCCGAGGCTGCAGAGCTCGCCAGGGTGTGTGGGTGCCGCAGGGGGGCGTTGCAGAGGGGGCAAGCATTTCCCTGGCAGGTGCCCCAGCAGACCTCCTGAACACGCCGTAGCAGGCAGCACATGGAGGCTGGGGACTCGGAGCTGGGGAGGGCGGATGTGGGGTCCCCCCTCCAGCTGCGTCAGCGTGAGCCTCTCGGCAACACCAGCCGGTTACCCCACATTTGCATTTGAGAATCTGCAGGCTTTGCAATGTGACGCTCCTGTGAACAACGCAGACCTCTAGGGAGCACCTGGGTCACCTGCCACTAGAGCACAGGTGTGACGAGCAGGTTAGGTTGCAGGCACACAGCGCACACCTGCTTCCACTCCTGCCTGCAACACAGGGCGCTCGAGGCCCGCCGTGGCTGGTTGTGTGTTGATAACCACATCCAGTGACCTTGAGTTTCTCTCTGTGGCTTCCACAGTGCTTTGTGGAGTGGGGGTCGGGTGCCTGCGCCAGGGGAACGTGCCCCTAATCCACCTGGAATTTCTGGGATTTTCCATGCAGTGTGCCATCCCGTTCCAGCCTCCAGGAATAGGGGCTGGGCCAGTTAGGTATGGACAGGGTCCTGACACCTTCCCTCCCAGGCAAGAGTCTTCGCAACAGTGATCCCCAAATTCAGTGTACATCAAACTCACCAGGGAACTTGTTCAAAGTCAGATTCCCTGAAAAATAGGGGCTGTCATGCGGGGCTGTGGATGCACCAGCGGTGCCAGGCCGGCTCTGGCGCCCTGGGGATGTGCCAGCTCTCGGGCAGCTTGAAGGTGGCAGAACAGGACAGGGTGGGGAAGCTGAAATACGCTGACTCCCTCCAGCCCTGCTCTTCTGGGATTCTCTAAGGAAATGAGGCATCAATCCATTTCCTGTGTGTTTCAGAGAAGCGGGCAGCTCTCCCCGGGCCTACTAGGAGGAGGAGGGGCTGGTGCCAGGCTGGATCTTGGGGACGGGCCAGGACCCACGGGGGTGCTCCCTGTGTCTCCCCCACATGCAGGCCCCAAGCAGGAAACCGTCAACGACTTCTGGAGGATGGTCTGGGAGCAGAAGTCGGCGACCATCGTCATGCTAACCAACCTGAAGGAGAGGAAAGAGGTAGCGGCTGACTCGAGGCCTTTCCCGGGCTCTGCGGGAGGGCGGGGGTGGGGGTGGGGGGCGCAGGGGTTACCACTTCCTGTTCCTGCCTCCGCTGCTCAGAAAAGAAAAGAAGAAAGAAAACTCCCCGCTTTCTTTGCAGAAGAAAGAAAAACTCCCCGCTGACTCCCCCAGGCCCCTCGCAGTCCAGACCCGCCCGCAGGGACTCTGGCTGCGGTCCCCCCGAGGGTCAGCCCAGGCGCCGGCCCGCCGTGGTGGTGGGGCAGCGGGTTCAGGATTTAGGGGGTTAGAGTGTGGGGAGGAACACGCCGGGCCTCAGATCCCGCCAAAAGGATTTCCTGGTTTTCAACACATTTGACAAACAAGGTAGACTGAGGCGTGTTGACCCCCGAGCATGCGCGGGCTGCCGTGTGTGCCGTGGCGTGGGCGCGCGGGCTCCTGTGCAGAGGAAAAGGGAAGCGCCACTGCGGGATGGGGTGCCAGGAGGGGTGCGTGGGTGAGCCCCAGGCAGCCCAAGTCCACTGCAGGGCAGGCCCCGGACAATAGGGCCCGGAGGTGCTGGCCGGGAGGCGCCCCAGTGCCCGGCCCAGGCCTGCCTTGTGCGGGAGCTCGGGACGGGGCTCGGGCCGGCTCACAGCATCACGGCGCCTTCGGGGCCCTCACTGTCAGCTGCGGGGACACAGCCCCCCCCCCGCAGAATAGACCAGAACAGAGCCATGAAGGAGGGGTCCCAGAGGTGGGAGCCGCCCCCAGACCACAGTCCAGGCCGGGGGCAGGGGCTGCTCCAGGGATGCCGGTGGTGCCGGCGGGGATTCCACCAAACCCAGCTGGAGGGAGGAGGCGGGCAGGTGGCGTGTGGGCACCAGGGGAGACTGGCGGCACCTCAGGGAACCGCTGGTGTCCGTGCCCAGCTGGGGGCACCACAGGGCGCTCGGCGGCGAGCAGACACGCGTTTCTGGAAGTTCACGACCCCCGATGAAGGAAGAGTCGGGCTAGAGGGAGCGGGCTTGGGGGCCGGGCCTCCTTCCCGGCCTCCACCGCCCGGTGCTCTGCGGGGCTTCCGTGGTCCACGCTCACGCCCAGGGCCTGCCCCCGCGTGGGACTTGGGCTGCTGGAGGCGCCGTCGCCCGGGGTCACTCTGGCTGCTAACCTGAGGGTCAGGGCAACGGTGGCGCAGGCAGGCGCGGGCCGGGGCGGCAGCCTCTGTCCTGCCACGCGGCCTGGCCCTGGCGGTCTCCCCGCTGACGCGTCATCTCCCCGTGGGGACCCGCCGGCGGCCCCGCCCGAGCCTGGGCCCTCGGCGGGCGGGCGGGCGAGGGGCTCCAGCCCCGTGGCGCGGGCACTGAGTCACTCCAAGAGGAGGCGCAGGAAAAGCCGCCCCCGCCCTTTCCGGCCGAGGCTCCATGGGGCCTGCGTTCCGCCACCACCGCTGCTTCCCCGGCGCCCGCGTGCCCGTTCGCTCGGATGTGTTCCCCGGGGCTCCGTTGTTTCAGATTTTCTTCTCGATGCCTCTGCTCCCGCCTTTGTTTTGTGGTTGGCACGTGGGTGTTACCCGTCCTCCTGCGCCGAAAGCGGCCTCTTGCTCGGGCCGGTGCTGCCTGTGTCATCAGCTCGCTGGCCCAGGGGGCGGCTCTCCCTTTGCGAGGGTGGTTTTGTATTTGGAGGAGCTGGGACAGGGCCTCCCAGCTGTGCTCGGGTCTCTGGAAACAGACAGGACTAGCGGGGGCCTTGGGGGGACGCCTACCCCTTCCCGTGCTGGAGGGGTGCAGCGGAGGCCCCCAGGGCTGAGCAGAAGCCAGGCCGCTCAGCCCCCCACCCACCGCCCGGGGACGGGGGGCTGAGGCCTCTCCGGGAGCGTTGGGTCCCCCGGGACCAGCCTTTCTGGGACTTGTGAACGACGTGAAGCGTGAGGCCGGGACCGAAGCAGGGGTAGGACAGCCCCCGCCCCGAGCGTGCCGCGGGCCCGTCCTCGCTGCTCTCCCTCCGCGCCCTGCCGGCCCTTCCATGTCTGTGGCTGGCGCTGCCTGCTCCTGCCCTGCCTGTCCCTGTGCCGATGGGCTCATTTCTCAGGAGGTTCCGTTTTCTTCGCCGCTGTGGGCGCGCCTGCAGCATCCTGGCTGCGTTGTGAAACACGGGCACCGCCTCTGCCCTCTACCCCGAGAGGCGGGGGTGTCCCACAGCCCCCACATGAGCGGGGCAGGGGGTCAGAACCAGCCCCAGCGGCCTTGGGAAAGCCTCTCAAGGCGAGACTCTCGGGGTGTCACAGCGTCTCTAGGGGGCAGAGACTGGCCCAAAGCAGGGCCTACGGAGGGGCAACTTCAGGAGGCGCCAGGGCCGGGATGGGGCGTCTGTCCTGAGGGTGTGGGCATCACTCAGGACGCCACTCCGTAACCTGCAGGCCGCCTTTGCTCATAAGACCTTCCCCCAGCTGGACCCCGTGGCCGCGCAGCTCCTGGTCCGAGTTCAGGCTGAGCTGTCCGGTGCTGGCAGGACTGCTGACCCTCAGTGTCAGCCCAGGGCGAGTGAGCAACGGGTCCCCTGAGGAGGGTCCCCCGGAGTTCACAAGCCCCCGCTCACGGAGGACCCTCCTCAGCGTGGGGCCTGGAGCACCGCCCCGGCCTGGGAGGTCGTGGGGGCAGCTGGTCCACGCCACCGCCCGCTGCCGGTCTCAGGTCAGCATCCGGCCCAGAGGGCCCATCCCCCCTCAGCACCTGGCTGGGCCAGTGAGCTAACCTGCCTTGGGGAGCCGAGCAGGGACACTCCTGGCAGATCCAGCAGGAAGTGTCAGGGGACACCAGGCTGACTTGGGGCCGCCCAAGGCCCCAGCTCTGAAGGGCAGCAGACCCATCGCCACTGCTGAAGTCAGAGCAGGCTCCGGTGGCCATGTCCAGGCTGCAGGTGGCGCGGCAGGAGGCCGCCCCATTGTTGCGGGGCCCGGGACTCTGCCCTGGGCTCAAGAGGCCGTGGGGATGCAGGCAGCGAGGGTGAGCCCCCACCGACCCAGCACCCCTGAATGCCCTCACAGGAGAAATGCTACCAGTACTGGCCGGACCAGGGCTGCTGGACGTACGGGAGCATCCGGGTGAGCGTGGAGGACTGCGTGGTTCTGGTGGACTACACCATCCGCAAGTTCTGCGTCCAGTCGGTAAGTGTCCCCAGCGCCAACCTCCGGCCAAGGGAGTCCCCGAGAGCACCAGGCCGCGGGAGAGCCAGCGCACACCAGGCCCGCTCTCCCGGAGCCGTCCAGCTGCCCCTGGGCCGGGCACAGAGCCGAGGGCCGGGCCTGGTAACAAACTCTGGGCGGCCCTGAGGGCTCGGGTGTCCTGGGAGCAGGCCGTCATTCTCCCTAAACTGAGACACTTTGGGGGCTGGAAGGTGCTGTTGGTGCTGACAGGGCCAAACCTGCTGCCCCGCGGTCTCCGGACTGCGTCTGGCTGGCCTGGCCTGGTCCTGGGGCCCGTGGACCCTGCTCTGCTGCCCCGGGCGGCCCTGGTGCGGGGTTCAGAGGGGGTGGTAAGCTGGGCTCTGCACGCGGGGCATCCTGTGCTGGCCCTCCCTGCACATGCACGCACGGCCATGCACGTGTGACGCTGGACGCTGGCGCCCTTAGAACATGGGGCTGGGGGTGGAGCATCCTGCCTCACGTCTCTTGTGTCCCCAGCAGCTCCCCGACGGCTGCAAAGCCCCACGGCTGGTCTCCCAGCTGCACTTCACCAGCTGGCCCGACTTTGGGGTGCCTTTCACCCCCATCGGGATGCTGAAGTTCCTGAAAAAAGTGAAGACACTCAACCCCGCGCATGCCGGGCCCATCGTGGTGCATTGCAGGTACGCCCAGGCCGGGCATGGGGTGGGCCCTTACAGGTGCGGGCCGTGCAGGGGGGGGACTTGCCAGCCTCCGCCTGCCCACCAGGAACACATGTGTCGAAGCAGGTCCTGAAACAATCACTTCTCCAGAATGTGTGCCCTTGCACACCTGGACACCCTCGGGTGTTCACACCAGACATGGTGAGCCGTAGTGACGGCACCTGCGGCCCCGCTGCGGCTGGGTCTAAACCCCCCTCTGGCTGCAGAGCAGAGAGCAGAGTCTCTGGCAGGCCTTGCGCCCAGGTCTGTTCTCTGAGATGAGGGCACAGCACCAGGAAAGTCCCGATGCTCAGCTCCCTGCCCCTCAGAGCATGCTTAGCCACCCCAAAGATGCCTGCCATGTCCTCTCTGCCCCGCTTTACCTTACGGGCCAAGGCAGGGAGTCCTGGGGTCCTGGGGAGAGGGCTGGAACCTGGCTCTGCCCCTGGGGACAGGGCATGAAGCAACCATGCAACACGCTTGGGTCCAGCTCCCTCCCCTGGAGAACCTAAGTGCCACCTGCCCAGGAGCAGTCACTGTCACTCGGCCCTGAGACTCCCCCAGCAGCTGCACGGGGGCGTGGCCCAGGCCTGCTCCGTCCCCAGCAGTGGGGTCCTGCGCTCAGACTTGTAGCAGCCGGTGGTCCGCGCCGCCTCTGCCAACACCTGTGTGGCAGGAGTACCTGCAGCGCTGTGTGGGATCCTGAGGTCCCTGGCGGGGCCGTGATCCTCGGGAGGCACCCGTCTGTAACCCCTGCATATCCAGGGGTGAATCCAAGTGGTGTCCACTTTGTCGGGGGAGAGCCTGGATGGAAAGGCCAGGTGGGGTTCCCCTGAACCCCTCAGAGAAGGGCCCCCGTGGCCAAGACAGCGGGGCCAACCACTGCCGAAATATGGTGGCAGTGCAGGAGATGGAGCTGCTCCGCATGGGCCGGGGTGCTGCGGGGAGCCCCGTTCTGATTGGTTCTGATTCTCCAGATCTGTGATGTACGTGAAACCCTCCTGGACGCCTGCCCCTCTCCCTGCACCCCATGGCCCGCCCCCTCCCGGCCCCTCCCGGGGAAGCTCAGCCCCGGCTCATCACAAAGCGGCCTCGCCAAGGTCGTGTGTGGCCGAGCGCCAGGCGCCCCTGCCTTCTCCCGCGGTCTGTTTGCCGCCGGCTTTAGGACTGGGCAGTGGAGGAGCCAGACCCGCTAGGGAGTTGTTCATTCAAGGGGCGTTCGCTGAGCCCGGCGTGTGCCCGAGTGCTGGGAGCTGGGGTGGAACACCCTGTCTGGTGCAGAGCCAGCGGGACGGCAGGCCACGCGGGGGTCAGCGTCCAGGCGGACAGCGGGGAGTGCGTGGGAGGAAGGAAACCCAACCCGGGGTGGAATCAAGGCAGCGTCGAGGCGGCGTCCTCTCAGCAGACACCCCGAGGACCAGCTGGCCTCAGCCAGCCCAGGGGTGAGGCTGGGGCGCCAGAGAGCAAGCTGGTGCCTCCCGACCCCTTGAGGACCTTGGCGTGCGGGCCGGCAGGCCTCTGCCCGCGGGTCCCCTGACTTAAACAGGGGCTCTAGAAAAGCTACTGCGTGACACTCTGCGTCACCCAATTGCACGGTGGTGGCGCCGGAGGAAAAGTGGCGGCCGGGCTCCCACGCGGCCCCCAGAGCTCAGGGAGCCTTTCCGCGGGGCCCTTGGCAGAGGCTCCAGGTCACTTTCCCGAGGTCGGGGCGCCCTCTGGCCGCGGCGTGTGGAATTGCTCCCGGGCGGAGGCCAAGTCCCAGGAGGGGGGCGTTTCCTCCAGCCCCAGGCGGTTCCGAGGCCCCATCCCTCACTTCAGAGGACGTGACTCAGGCCTGGCTCTCTCTTTGTCCCGAAGCGCGGGCGTGGGCCGGACGGGCACCTTCATTGTGATCGACGCCATGATAGACATGATGCACGCCGAGCAGAAGGTGGACGTCTTTGAGTTTGTGTCAAAAATCCGCAATCAGCGCCCACAGATGGTTCAGACGGACGTGAGTAACAGCCCCCAAACACCCTCCCCCGAGTCCAGCGCCGTGCCGGCGCGAGCTGGACAGAGCAGCCCTCCGCTCCCGGCATGGTGGCCTCTCCCCAGGGCCTGCGGCAGGGGGAGCACCCTCGGCAAGGCCGCTGCCCGGTTACCGGGACACGTGGTCTACCAGCCCCGGCCCGGCTTGCTCCAAGGCCTCCCTGCCGGGACAGGAGGAGGAGAGGGGCCTGGGCCCGCTGACTGGCCTGCGCTCTGTCTCCCAGATGCAGTACACGTTCATCTACCAAGCCCTGCTGGAGTACTTCCTCTACGGCGACACCGAGCTGGACGTGTCCTCCCTAGAGAAGCACCTGCAGACCCTGCAGGGCCCCACCACCCCCTTCGACAAGATCGGGCTGGAGGAGGAGTTCAGGGTGAGCCTTGCCCCTCAGTGGGAAGGGAAACGGGACCCTGCAAGGGGAGCGTCCCTCTTGATCGGCCCTCAGGGCCCAAAGCTTCCCGGAGGAGGAAAAGCCGAGGGTGGCCAGAGCTCAGCAGCAGCCCACAAAAACCAGGGTGTCCTGCGGACGTTGTTGTCCAAGATTCGGGGCAGGGCTCAGGAGAGGGCTGGAGCTGGGACCCAGGCTTGCTCTTGTCAGGTGCCCTTGACAGTCGTTCGGTTATAGGGTTGAGGGTTTGCTCTGGAGTATCAGGGCCTCAACTGCATGATTTTGTCCTTAACCCAGAAACTGACCAATGTCCGGATCATGAAGGAGAACATGAGGACGGGCAACCTGCCAGCAAACATGAAGAAGGCCAGAGTGATCCAGATCATTCCCTGTAAGACACCCAGGGCCATGTGGAGCAGCCTGGGGCTGTGAGGGGGAGCCTGGGGCCGTGGGGCAGCCTGGGGCTGTGTGGTCCACCCGGTAGGACACAGGCAGAGTCAGGCCAGCATCACCCTGTACTGCAGGGATCAGAGCAGGGCACTACCTGGCCCAGACTGGGGCCTTCAGGGGGCTGCATCAGGCTGCTGGGCAGGGGAGACTGGCCTGTGAGCAAGGCATGAGCCAGCTGGTCCTGTGTGACACTGCTAGGGACCTGGGCTTAGAGGTGGCAGAGGGAAAACTTCCTGGAAGCAGAGAGATTTGCTTCAAGCATGGCTATGCCTCCTGAGCCAACTCTCCTTCAGCCCCCACTGCACCTCCAGGGCTTACACAGAGAGGGCTCAGGCCACACAGCAGGGCCTGCCAGTGCTACCCACTGGGGCAGTGTGGAGTAGCCTGGGGCTGTGAGCAACCTGGGGCCGTGTGAAGCAGTCTGGGGCCTTGTGGAATAGCCTGGGCCATGAAGAATATAGCCTAGGGCTGTGTGGAGCAGCCTGGGGCCTTGTGGAGTAGCCTGGGGCCGTGTGGAGTAGCCTGGGGCCGTGTGAAGCAGCCTGGGGCCGTGTGGAGCAGCCTGGGGCCGTGTGGAGCAGCCTGGGGCCGTGTAGAAGATAGCCTGGGGCCTTGTGGAGCAGCCTGGGGCCATGTGGAGTAGGCTGGGGCCCTGTGAAGTAGCTTGGGGCCACGTGGAGCAGCCTGGGGCCGTGTAGAATATAGCCTGGGGCCGTGTGGAGCAGCCTGGGGCTGTGTGAAGTAGCTTGGGGCCGTGTAGAGCAGCCTGGGGCCCTGTAGTATATAGTCTGGGGCCGCGTGGAGCAGCCTGGGGCCGTGTGGAGCAGCCTGGGGCTGTGAGGGCCCAGAGGACAAAGCCTCTGGCTGTGGGGCTGGCAAGGAATGGGCGGGAGTGGAGTCTGGACACTGGCCTGCCTGAGGTCCTGCGTGAGGGAGGGTGTGGGTAGGGGGCAGTGGAGACAAATGCCCACAAGCAGCGAGCAGGGGGACACTTGCCCCCCAGGAAAGAGGCAGAGCCAAGGAAACTGCCAGGAAATGGCGTCTCGGGCAGGGGAGCCTGGAGGGTGAGGACAGAGCCTTGAGGCGGACGCAGACCCCTGAGGAAGCTGCGGGCTGCTCTCACCTCAGGCTCCGGGGTAGACCGTGTGCAGGGCTGTGGCACCTCCCGCAGCCCCCAACCCTGGAGACCCCAGGAAAGCCCCCTCCCAGCTACCCCGGCTCCCAGGCTGGCCACGCCCCTTCTCTCCTTAATGTGGCGTCTGTTCATGCATCAGCTCCCGTCCTGAGAAATGAAAGGGTAACTGGGGGGTTTCCAGAGCTTTCCTAACAAAGCACAACTCCCCTGGGCCACTTTCTACCCCAGCTGACAAAGCGAACCTTCGGAGAGTTGACTGACTTAGCGACTTTATTAGCAAGCGTTCCGTGCCGGAAGCCCCGGGAGCGTCGCGCGCAGGGTGGGGTGTCCTGCTAACGCGGGGCGCGCTGCCTTGCAGATGACTTCAACCGCGTGATCCTGTCCATGAAGCGGGGCCAGGAGTACACGGACTACATCAACGCGTCCTTCATCGACGTGAGTGCCAGCTCATCGCCCGCTCAGACCCCCCACCAGAGACCCCCATTTCACGAGCAGAATCACGAGCTTAAAACGTAACAGTGAGCTTCGGAAACAGGGCAGAGGCCTGCGGAGTGTTAGCTGTTCCATTCTGCTCTTAACGTACGCTTTGCTTCTCCCCTCCGGTAGCGCCAGGTACCTATGCGTGCTCCCGCATGCTTTCCTGGCCCCTGCAACATGTCCCGCGCGGACGTCCAGGACACACGGTCTGGGCTGGCTGAGGAGGGGGTGGTGTTGGAACACGCAGACGAGAAGGCTGTGCCCGAGGTCATTTGGGCCCTAGCAGAGGAGCCGGATTCAAGCCTCTCCCACTAGCTGCACGCCCAGGCCTGCCCGCCCTGCCGCTGGCTGGCTGTAAGCAGCAGAAACAGGGTTGCAGCTCCCGGTGCTTTGGCAGGTGGCCACCAGCAAGTGGGCATCCCTAACCTCCACTCAGATGCCCTGGCACTAAGGTGGGGCGCCTTCTCCTGTGCCCTGAGTGCCTGCAGGGGGGCTTGTGCCCTCCCAGAGTCCTAATATCCGTCCTGTCAGGGTTGGGGTGCGGGCGGCATCTCATCCTCTGCTCCCCCCGCAGGGCTACCGACAGAAGGACTACTTCATCGCCACCCAGGGGCCGCTGGCGCACACGGTGGAGGACTTCTGGAGGATGGTCTGGGAGTGGAGGTGCCACACGATCGTGATGCTGACGGAGGTCCAGGAGAGAGAGCAGGTCAGGGCCTCCTCCGAGAGCAGCTGGGCACTCAGGGGCCCGGTGCAGCCCACGTGGCCACGGCTTCTCACCGTGTACACCTTGCTGCCGACTGTCCGCAGGCCAGCTGCTTGCCGGAGAGTCTGGCGGGAAAAGGCTTCATTTCATTTCCTTGGGGGTTTCTGTTGTTAACCCTAACTGCCCCCGGCCTGTGTTCTTAACCTGTCTTGAAATCCCACCATTTTGTATTGTCTACAGACGCAAATCTGACCCCTTCACACAAAGGCCCTGATACATGTGCCTGTTTCATTCACATATTGTCCTGGTGGGATTGCGTGAGTTAGATCTCCCCCTTCACCAGGGCTCCAGCACAGCCTTTTGCACTTTATATAGTGACGTAGTAAATGCTGGTGAACCCACATCCAGATGAAAACCAGCCTCCCCTCAATAATGCCCATCTCTCCAGGAGCTTCCCCCAGGGGGGGCCGCAGGCCTGCGTTTGCGTCTCCACTCCTTGCAGCTTTAGTTGAGCTCACACAGACTCACATAATTCATCTTTCTCAAGGGCCCAGTACGGTGGTTTTAGCATATTCAGAGCTGCGCAACATCATCGCTACCTAATCCAGGAAATTTGCATCGCCCCCAAAAAGAAACCCCATTCCCATTAGCAGTCACTCCTTGTTCCTCCCCCCAAACACCCCTGCCACTGCGAATACACTTTCAGTCCCTGGGGCTGTGCCTGCTCTGGACACTCCTATCCGCAGGGTCCTATCACAAGTGGTCTATGGCAATGAGGACATTCACTTGGCAGAGTCCCCAGGTCCCTCCATGCCTTGGCGTGAATCAGTTCTTCATTCTTTACATAGACAAGATTCCACTATATGATGCATCATGTTTTGCTTATCGTTCATCAGGTGATGGGCAGTTGGGCTGTTCTCCACTTCGGGGAGATTAGGAATGATGTCACGAGCACGTGCGTGTGACTCCTTGGCTCCAGGCAGATGCCAAGGAGCGGGGCCGCCGGCCGCGTCACAGCTGCCGTGCAAGCTCACGTCACTTGACGTTCGGAGGCTTGGCCAGCGGCTTTCCAAAGCAGCTGCCCTGTTTCACATGTCCACCAGCAGGGCACGGCGGTTCTGATTTCCCCCAGCTTGTTACTATTTGTCTTTTTGATTAAAGTCATCCTGGCAAGACGCATTCCTTGCTTTTTAAAAATGCTTTTAAAATGATTTTTATTTTATTAAGCTTCAAGACTGTCGGCCACAGCACACGGCCCGTGCCCAAGGGTGGGCCGGGGGCATGTCAGCCCTGGCAGGACACGGGTTAGGGACCCAGGTTCATGTTTCCCATAAAGAAATCAATTTTCCCAGCTCCTCTTTGTGATGACTCCTCTTCCTGTCTGTCATGTACCTCAGCTCCAGGGAACTATGTGTGTTTCCGGAATCCGTTCTGTCCCCTCTGCAACAGGCATTGGAAAAACACGTTTAGTAACTGGAGAGAAATTCTGCATCGTGTGGAAACGGCTAGAAGCGCAAGAGGCTGACGTTTGTATTTTCTCCCCAAGGATAAGTGCTACCAGTACTGGCCAGCAGAGGGCGCCGTGACCCACGGCGAAATCACCATCGAAATCAAGAGCGACACCCTCTCGGAGGCCATCAGCGTCCGGGACTTCCTGGTCACCTTCAGCCAGGTATGGAGCCAGCCCAGGCGCTCGGCACCGCGGCCTCGCTCGGCGCGTCACCTGTCTTGTCCCGGACATCACCCCTCCAGCCTTCCCGGGGGGCCACGTCCAGAACGGTCAGCGGGAGCTCCACAAAAGTGGACCTCCGTGTGGCCGCGTCCTGCTGGAGGGAGAGGCTGGGGGCAGGGTGGCCAGCTCCCAGAGCCAACCTCTGTCCCCAGCCCCCACCCAGGGATGTCAGGCAGGAGGACATTACCCATCCAGGGCTCCCGCCATCACCCATGCCCTGGGTTCTGGATCGTGCTCCCAAGCACCGAGTGGGAGCTCCGGGGACCCCAGAGCCTGTGGTTGTCCCGTGGTTGAGGGGACCTGTGGTTGTCCTGAGTTCTGCATGGTCAGCACAGCGTAACCCCATCTGCCCAAGAGCAGGGTTCTCCTCCCGCCCCCCCCCCCCGCCCCGGGGAACGGGATGGCCCAGGGTCACCAGACTCGGAAAACTGCACATCTCCAGCCTCCTTTTAGAAGAACTGAGCCCCGTTTCTTAAGCAAAGCTGCCCAGGGTCCCATAAAGGGGTCCAGTGGGGACTGGTGTGGTCTGTTGGAACCTGGTGGGGTCTGTTGGAACCTGATGGGGCCCCAGGGGCATCCCCTGGCTACCCTGCCCTACTCGCACTCAGCGGGAAGGCTGCTCCCTCCTCAGGGGAGCACAGCCCTCAGAACACCTGATCCGGACCTCAGGCCAGCCGGGTGGACCTGTCAGGCACCATAGGCCCCGGGAGGGGTGGCCCGGGTCTGCCCCAGGTGGGCAGGGGCGTGTGCCCAGGCGCACTGACCGCCCTGTTCCGCCACAGCCCCTGGCCCGCCAGGAGGAGCAGAGCCGGCTGGTGCGCCAGTTCCACTTCCACGGCTGGCCGGAAATCGGGATCCCGGCCGAGGGCAAAGGCATGATCGACCTCATCGCCGCGGTGCAGAAGCAGCAGCAGCAGACGGGCAACCACCCCATCACTGTGCACTGCAGGTACCCGGCGGCACCCCGGGGGGCCCAGAGCAGCCCCGCCGCCTCCTTAGGCTGCTCCCTGGGGAGCATCAGTCCACAAGCCAGCGCCTGTCTTGAGTGTAGGCCCGGCTCCTCGTTCCCGGGAAGCGCTGCCGTCTGACCACCCCCGACAGAAAGACCCTGTGTCTAAACACCCCTTCCAGTCCACGTCATGCTTCCCGGAAGCACCAAGCCCAGCGGCAGGGGCTGGGCCTGGACCACCCTCCCAAACCTGAACCTGGGGGGAGAGTTTGCGCTTCTGACAAGTTCCCGGGGGTACCAACGCTGGCTCCCGGACCCCGCTTGAGCACCCCCAGAAGGAAGGGAACGTGTTCACCAGCTGGTCCTGGCGCCCCACGAGCCAGCTGGTAGCAGAAACCAGGCCAGGGTGTTAGGAATTCGGCACCTGCCGGCCTCTGCAAGCCGCACAGAAGCGCTCTCGGCGCCGTGCTCTCGGGGCGGGCTCCCCGGCGGGCCCGGCTGCTGCATGGAGCGTGTTCTCTCCGCAGTGCCGGGGCAGGGCGGACAGGTACGTTCATCGCCCTCAGCAACATTCTGGAACGAGTGAAAGCTGAGGGGCTCTTAGACGTGTTCCAAGCTGTGAAGAGTTTACGACTTCAGAGGCCACACATGGTGCAAACCCTGGTAAGGAGCTGAGCGGTGCTCCCGCGGGTCGGGACTGCTGTCTCGGTGTGATGCGCGTGCATTGGGGGCTCCGCTGTGTGAGGAGGGCGGAAGGTGAAACTTGCAGGGGAAAGAGTCAACTGGAACTTTTCACAGCAAAGCTGTGCAGACCTCCTGGGGTCTGTCCCTAAGACGCCCCAGACCCGGTGGGCAGAGCCCCCGACAGCGGCTTCTGTGTCCGTGTGAACAATTCTGCGGCACCTGGTGTCCGTGGGAACATGCCCCTGCCCAGCTCCAGGGCAGCGGCCACTCCCGTCCGGCCCTGTGGCCCCCCTCGCCGCTGTGACCAGGCAGTGGCTCTGCCCACAGCGCCCGAAAGCGAGACCCCCCGGCGGGGTTGAGAAGAGACTTCAGCTCATTTGCAAGCTGACTGGCGAAGAGGTCGGAGAGAAATCAAACCTACTCCAGTTCCGACAGGGAATGAGGTTGGGGTGACACAGGCTTCGGGGTTCCTGGTTGAGAGCAAAGGAGTTAAATTTACAAGTTGAGAAGCTGGTTCGGGCTGCAGGACGTGACTTGGGTGTGCGTGCCGTGCCGGGAGAAGGCCGCGCTCTCCTCGTGGTCCAGGGGAGGCCCCGGACGGCGTCAGTGCTGCAGACTCGCATCAGGGGCTCGTGCCCAGCGGGCCTGGGTGGTCGGCGGCAGCACGTGTGCGTGGTCAGGTTTAAATTTCCCTCCCAAAATTCACTCTTCCTCCTGAGGACTGGCTGGCCAGGCGGATGCATCCGTGGCTGGAAGTGGGGATCTGTTATTTGCTCCCCAGCAACCTTTCCGCCCTCTGGGACCAGCTTCTAGCTGAGACGCAGGCTGCACCTCGGGGTCCTCCCCCTGCCCCCGGGCCACTTTGTGCTCAGGTTGCGGAGACTCCCAGGGGCCTCTTTAAAAAGCCCCTCAAAGTGCTTCCCGCCTCTTTCATTGCTTCTTGTGGAGCCCGTGCCTGGTGGGGTCACTGGCCCCCGCAACGCACACGGGCGCCCCCACCCCGGAGAGCGCCCAAGAGTGACATGACCCGCCAGCGTCCGGGAGTTGGGTGTCTGTACAGCGAAGCCTTTGTCCTTTTGAACTCTAGTGAATTTTGCATAAAACAATGTCATCTTCCTAGATTAAATTTAGGCTTAAATCTCTATTTTTAGGTTAGTTAACTTCTGTAGACTGCTTTTTGTGACATGAGGACGTCTATCTGAGCTTAAATACTCTGTTTTTTTTCAGTTTGAATAGTTGTTTTCTCATTGAAATATGAGAACTAGAGGCCTTTTCTCAGTGTTCTACAATATACTGGTATTTTCTATGCAGAAAAACATCTTTATTTGGAAATTTCTATGTGCCTGCTAACTAAAGTACATAGCAGGTGCCGACATGTGTAAGCGTGTATGGTATTTTAATACGTAACAGATAGTTTATGTCTTCTTTTTGAATGCATCTCTTCATTTAATGAATCAATTGTTTTTAATATAATTTTAATGTCTTCTTGGTTTTCTTTTGCAGGAACAGTATGAATTCTGCTACAAAGTGGTACAAGATTTTATTGATATATTTTCTGATTATGCTAATTTCAAATGAAAATTCCTGCCTTAAACTATTTTTTAATTTAATGGTCAGTGTATTTTGTAAAAATCATGTTAATTTATTTCATAGTTCACATTAATATCCTTCCTAATTTCTTTGTATATATTTTGTTATGCTTTAAAGTCTACCTACTGTAAAGTTATTAAATTTAATGACTCCTTTTAAAAACTGGAATAATGTATTAAGGTCACATAATATCCCACAAATGATCTATTTCTGCTAACATCGTAAATACCTTAAAGTTTCATTAGATTCAAGTCGTTTAATTTCTCACATTCAGCGCCTCTCCACGCGATAGCTCTTAAAGTGCCAAGTGTGCTCAGGCTGGATACGAAACACCACGTTCATTAGGCGAGAATCAGAAATTGCTGGAAACTCCCTTTCCTAACACCGACTCACAGCCCTGGCCAGCGGCGTGTGGTCAAGTCCAGCCCTTTGGGGGCTTCAAGGCAGAGAGGCTGGACGCATCCTCAGCCCCATGCGCTTCATCCTTACGCTTCAAAGGCCCAAGTCTGACGGCCTGAGCCCAGCGGAAGCACAACAGAGCAGGTGGCCACGTGGAGAGGCGCTGGGGCCGCCAGGCAGGGCGTCGCAACTGCCAGTGGTCAGGTTGCCTGTGGCCTTGGGGACAGCAAAGCCAGCCTCAGAGCTGTGGCCCCCTAGCGCCACTTGCTCTCCGTCTCGCTGGCTGGCTGTGAGGAGCAAGCCTTCTGTGTCCTCCACCCTGCCCGTTCTGCCCCTGAGCCCCTGCTCGCCGCAGCTCTGCCCAGCGCCTTGGCCCAGACCTCCTGCCCCGCAAAAGGCTGGCACGGCCTGGGTCCGAGGCCGGAAACTAGGAGCACAGGCCTGGCACAAACAGCAGGGCCAGCCCCCAGACCGGACGTTTCCTGAGAAGTGTTTGGTACTAAAAATCTCTTGTAAAAGCTGATTGTTTATAAGAAATCAAAAAATCTAGATTTATACAGTTTTTTAAGTCCCACTCCTGAATACTTAGTAAAAAGAAAGCGTGCTTGTCCCCCGAAGGCTGGCCTGATGTGATGGGCAAATGCAGAGAGGCCTTGGCACTGGGGAGGTGGCCGACAGGTGGGGCCCGGTGAGGGTGAAGCCTAGCGTCACAGCGGGGTGCCCTCCGTGCCTGGCAACCTGCCACAGGCACACTATGACTCCGCTGCCGTCCAACCACTCGCACTTGGCGTGTGCGTTCAGGACACACTTTGCTTTGCAGCAGGGACAGAAAGGCCTCATCTGACAGCCCCGTGGCTGCTGCACCCTCCCGTCGCCCCGCTTGTCCGGCCCTCGCCCCGCACCCAGAGGCAGCCCCGGCCAGCCCCTCCCGTTACGGATGCACAGGGCAGCGGGCGCTGCTCTCCCTCAGCCCGGCCAGCCAGGCGGAGGCACAGCTGGGAGGACAAAGCACAATGTGTGACCAGCGTCCACGCTGCCCGCACCCGAGGGCCCTCTGCTCGGTGCGGGATGGTGCGTTGGGGTGCAGAGGACGCTCCGTGCGAGGAGCTTTGCAGGACGCGCCAGTGGGCTCCGTTCATTCTCGCCGGCCGAGCCAGGCCCCAGGCCTGCCTTTGACTAGAGAAGAGCGCCAGGCTTTCATGCAGCACAACCCAGAAGCCGCCAGATGCCTGCTCGTGAGGAAGGCGACCAGCAGTTTGCTGAGCGGCCAGCGGGAAGGGGCAGGGTCTGGGGCCAAACCTGGGAGACCCGCTCGGCTTGGAGCCCTCAGACCCTGGACGGGTCTAGCGGGCGTTTCCGTATCCAGACTCAGGCAGACCTTCGCGGGCCCTCGGCACCTGCCAGCTGTGTCTTCAGTCCCCTGGGCTGTCCTCCTGCGCTGGCGGCCTCCCGGCACCCGGCTCAGCCTTCCCCATCCCAGAAACGAAACAGCAGCCACCGTCCCTTGCACCAGGCGCCTCCCAGCACCAGCCCTCGGGGGTCTCCCTCTCTGCCACGGCCCCCGCCCCAGCAGTCGGGGAGGGCGCGGGACCCGGCGTGCAGTCTGGAAGGCCGAGCCCTCCTTCCCCTGGGCTCACAGAAAGTGTGTCCGAGCCCTCCCCGCCGGGTTCTCTGTTGCATGAAGTCGCGTCCAGATGCCAAACAGCGACTGGAGGACAGCTCCAGCCGCTGCGCTTCCTCGGTCACTGTGTGACTGCTTTAGTCTCGGCGAGCAGGCCAGCCAGAGTGCACACCAGTGTTTGCAAAGGTATTTTTATGTATTTTTAAAAACTTTTTAAACGAGCCTGACGCGTCTGTTTCAGCATTTGGAGAAATGTCCGTGACATTTTTTAACATGATGACTGATTCTTCTGTTGACTAAGTCGTGTTCATTTAGATGCATCTTCCTAGTCCGTGTTCCCGCCTCAGCTCCCAGGCTTTCCTTTGCCACCTCCATGCCCTGATCTTGCGCTGAATAGAATGCCAGTGAGTGTTGCTGAATTCTTTGTATATGCAAGTTGCAAGATCTGAACCCTCCTGAGGTGAGGCTCCACCTGTGACTTCCGCCTGCATCTTTCTTCAGTGGCGTCTTCGCCTCGTTCCTGTGCCTTAGGTCCTGTTGGACAACACGGTCATGGGAGGCACGCACTGACCTGTACGCACAGCTCGCTTTAGAACTTCTGAAGTGAGCCCAGGCCCGACGGGCGTCCGCCCCTACAGCGTGAGCTGCGCAGGCCCGGCAGCCCCTGGTCTCTGCGGGTCTAGGAGGCACAGCCGGCGTGAAGCCTGGAGACACCCGCTCGGGGAGCCCCTGTTGCTTCCAAACTCCACACAGGGCTCTGAGCTACGGGTAGCAGCTTCCCCGATGACCCAGGAAGGGACCTGATGCTTGACGTCCACACCAGGTGAAGTAGAAAGTCCTGCTGACGTGGCTTGTCCGCACACCTACAGCCTTCCTGCCGCAGCCCTCCGGCCTCTGGCCTCTCCGCAGCCCTGCCGGAAGCTCCTCCCTCTGCTCACACCGGCTTCCTCTCTCAGATCCCGGCCTCATGTGGAAGTTAAGCATTTTCTTTTTATTATTTGTCATATTTATTTAATAAATTTCATGAGCCTTGTTCTGTTGGTTACAGTGCGTGACTCGAAACCTTCCATTCCCGACACGCCCCTGGAGAATCACCTCGGGGCCTCTTGCCGTGGGTTTTCCCAGTGGGTCTGTCCACCTGTCCGCAAGTCCCTCATCAGCCGAGGTGTGGGGGGCTCCCCGCGGGCGGGGCAGACACGTGGCCTCACTTGGGGGTCATCCGAAGGGAAAGCCTCAACCAAGGACTTGGGTGCAGATGGTTTGATTGGGGGGAGACCCCACGACTCTAGAGTGAGGGGGCAGGTGGATGAGGTGGGAGAGAGGATGAGCCATTGGAAGGTGAGAACTGAGAATCCCAGGGGTTCCATCTGCCGGACACCGAGGGTCACCCCAAATCATCATCTGCAGGGCAGGATGCTGGGGACTGCCCGTGGCCCCCCACGCCTGGTGAGAGTCCGTCTGTAGCCATGGAGTTCATGAGCCTGGGGTCGCAGGCCCAGGGGCCTTTCTGCTCAGAGTCCCGCTTCCGTGCCCCCGGCCACAGCCAGAGGCCCCACCCCCAGCCTGCTGCTGAGGGCGGGCCTTGACCTCCTCCCACCGGAGCTACGTGGGGTAGGGTCGGTCCGACATCTGAATTCCCAGCCCCTTCCTAGGGGGGCGTGAGGGAGGAAAACGGCAGGTGCTCCGCCTTTGGCCACAAGCCATCCGAGTGCGCGGAGCCGAGCCCGCAGCCTGTCTCCAGGCCAGAGAAAGGCAGCAGCCGGGGCTTCTCCAGTGTCCCCTGGGGAGGTCCCCAAGCGCAGGTGACTGTGCTGGGTCCCCAGGAGTCCCGGGACCCGGTGTCAGGCTCGGACCCTCCAGCTCAGGCCCCACGTCCCCAGGAGGCTTCAGCCCACAGCACCTGTGACGACCGGACGGGACCATGGCGCAGCCCCCCGCGGACTGCCAGGAGCCAGACGAGGACCTGCAGCAGATGTTCTGCCTCCGGGGGGTCCGCCGTGAGGAGGGGCAGCCCTGAGAACCCACTGTGGGGCTCAAGCATGAAAGCGAAGGACCAGGCCAGACCACGGAGAGCTCAGGGGACCCTCGGGGGGCCTCTCTGGGGGCAGCCCCTCCCCTCTGGCCTGGCGAGGCGCTGTGGGAACACAGGTGTAGCAGCTGACCCCCAGCCCGCCTCCCGCCCCCACGCTCCAGCGGGTCCTTGGGTCTCTGACAGCCCCGGCCCCCCGAGTGGCACGGGTGCCCCTTCCGTGTTCAGGGAGGCGGTCTCCAGGGGGCCTCTGGGCGTGCGGATCTGGGGCACCCACAGAACTTGTCTGGGAAGCCAGTTTGCTTTGACCCAGCAGGTAAGGAGCACGCGCCCGCCGGGACGGCACCAGGAGTGCGGCTTCCTCCTCCTCTCCTTGCCCAGGGGCTTCCAGCGCGACGGGCGGGATCAGCCCTGCAGGGTCAGCCCTGCAGGGTCCTTGGCCTCTCGGGACTGCAGTCTCTGCTCCTGGGCGCCCCGCTTCTCACAGCAGAGCGTTCCAGAGGACGAAGAGCAGCACCCAGCGGTGATGTCCGGGGCTGGTCATTTCAGATCTTTCATCTGTAAAAGATGAGCGGAACCCCTCCGGCGGGGACCGGGGCCGCCCCTCCAGCTGCTCTGGGAGTAAGATCACACAGACACTGCGTTCAGAGGCGCGTCTCTCTTCCTGAGAAAAATGTAAGCGGATCGCCATCGTGGGGGGAGAGGGAACAGCTGACCGAAAAAGGCGCCGATGCGAATGCCGCCCTGCCCGGGGTGACCCTGGACGGACGTGAAAGCGTGTCCAGTGTGTGACAGTGACAAGCCGCCGGCGAGTTCCGGCCGCCTGTCAGCGGCTCAGGACAGTGAGCGTCCCAGGTGCAGACCCTCTTCACAAAGCTTCGTGGTTTGTATTTTACAGATCGGAGCAAAAGGGAAGCACCTGGTCACGATAAAATCTTAGCAGTTACACCTGAAGGGGAAGAAAGTCATCATAAAGCGCGCGGCGCGCAGCCCCTCCCCACACGGAGAGCTGCCCCTCCATTTGGCTCTCCGGGGCCGAGTCAACAAGATCAAATGCCTCCCGGGTCGTGGCTCCCGGAACCCCAGGAACCCCAGTAACGGGCCCTGCCGCGTGCCATGTCCCACAAAGGAGAGCATCTGATTTCCCCGATGCTGATGGGGCACAGCTCTCCCCGCAGCCAACAAAAGTTAAAGGGAAAAGACTCGATTTTGAAAGGCGGAAAAGGAAGCGGCCAGCCTGCGGGGAAACAGGTGCGGGGCCTGGGTGAACAGGCGGGTGTGGGACACGCTCAGGTCAGTGTCTCAGATCCATCGCCCCGGATCTGCTCACGCTCGGGAGGTGTCCCGTGGTCCCGGCTCTCTCGCCTTTCAGGAGGGGCCACAGGGAATCTGCCCACCCAGGAGGCTCCTGCCCCCCAAACAGTGTATCCTGACATGACTTGGGGAAGGTGATGGCAGAGACGCCGGGCTTCGGGACATCTTCCCAGGACACTGCAGGGACACGGGCTGGAACCCGCTGACCTTCCACCCACATCAGAGGGGCACCGCCTGCAGGAAGCCTTCCAGGATTTAGGGACCAGACTCCTGGTTTCCACAGGGCTCTGCACACCGTGGCCTGAGTCCTTGTGTGCTCTGGGAAGCCTCTGTGCGTCTGTCTGCTGTCTGTCTGCCGGGGTATGGGGGGCTTGTCTCAGGAAGGGGAGTGTCCCTTCCCACACAATCTGCGCGTAGGCAAATGAATTGATCAGGCTTTTTGCGCCTCTAGCCTCTGGCCATCACCTGTGGCCTTGATCGAGCTGATGCAGAGGCGCTTGGGAGGTGGGCGCGCTCGCGGGCCTGATGGTGGACACGTGGGGCGTGGTGTGGGCGTGCATGAGTGCGCACCTGCGCCTGAGGCCAGGCTAGAAGGCCGCGTCACTCCGAGGACGGCTACAGAGGAGGCAAGGCTGTGAGACGCGAGAACGCCAGAGCCCGGAGAAGAGGAAAGGGCAAAAGGTTCGCTAGGGACTGGGTTGTTGCCAGCCCCCCGGCCCCATGACTGCCCCCCGGCCACCCTGCCTTTGCTGCCTCTGCAGCACCAAGAATGCCGGGGAGGCCATGGCAGCGACTGCAGCGCCCGCCCAAGCGCCCACGCCCAGGGGGCTGCTCCTCGCCGGGACCCGAGGCTCGCCCAGGGGGTGAGTTTGCTCCTTCACCCCTGTTCTTACACCAGCCTGTGGGACGCTCACACCGCTGCTCGCTCCCGCCCTGTTGCTCGTGAGGGCGTGTGCTGCGGACACAGGGGTTCCGGGAACACTGCAGCGGCCGGCGGCGAGCTCACCACCCGGCCCTGCAGCCTGCAGCGGGACCTCACCCTCGGGCTTGCAAACCCTGCACTCCGGAGGGTGAAGAGACATGCTGGTAAATTCCAGTGAAGTTGTGGTTAGAGTTGAACCCCAAAGGGCTTTGGATTAATCAGTATATTCCATCCCCCAGGTAGGGAGCTAATTGAAATCTTCCCGCGCGAGGGTCATAATTACTAAAACTGAAGTGTTGGCAGAATCACTTAATCAGAGCAAGGGCCTGGGACTGTCTTGAGTCCCGCCTCCCCGGGTGGTGTTCTGACCCCGGCCAAGCTGCCAGGCCCGGCCCTCGGGGCCCACCTGTGCCCTGCCCCGGCAGCCTCTGGGTGCCCCTCCCCGCACCATCTCGAGGCTCTCGCCCACTGCCCAGGACCCCACAGGGCAGCACACGCGCCCCCACTGATTCAGACACCCCCAGTTCACGATTCCTTAGCAAATATTTATTTCTTTGCATCCCTGGCTGCACGCCAGACACGGGGGTACAAACTCTTCCAGCTCAGTCTCAGCACGGTGACCTTGTCCTCCGTCCTTCGCCCGGCCAGTGCGCGGCTGCCGGAGGGAAGGGCTCTGCTTGCGGACTCGGAGCAGAGGAATAGGGCCGAGTGGACATGAAAAGGGCGCCTGGCAGGCAGGGAATCGGGGCTGAGACTGGAGCCCGCAGCCCGCCACAGGGATGTGGGCACCGTCGGGCACAGAACGGTGGGGAATTGTGGAGGGGCCGCGCTGTCGCCATCAGGAAGGCCCCGCCTCTGGAGGACGGTCATGTTGCCTCCTGTACGGAGGGGAGCCGGGCACACAGGGAAGGAACGGGTGGGACAGGTGCCCAGGAAATGGAAATGACAGAGAAGCGCAGACGCCGAGGGCTGAGTGGACTGGGGGGCACCTGGGGACGGCCTTGAGGCCTAGTGAGTGGACGCCTTCTCGGCCGAGAGCAATCTCAGCGAGACGGGCACTCCCGACGTGAAGACGCACGTCAGACCTGGAACACAGCGACAGCCGCTCCGACCGGCTCGCGCGCCCGCTCGGATCCACAGTCCACGCCGCCAGGGTAAGGCACGGATGGACTGTCCAGGTGACTGACGGCCCCAGCGGGGAGCAAATGCCACCCCTCGTAGAGGTGCGTACTGCCAGGACCCTGAACGCCCCCCCTCGCCAGTCCTTCACGTCTCCTGAGTAGCTGCCTGGCAGGACCAAGGACAGGGCCCTGCCCGTCACATTCCGTGGAGGACACAGACGACACACAAGCATTTACAAGGCAAGTGCTTTGCTCGCCGGGGCTGTGAGGAGCCCACGGCTTCATTTCCCAAAGCGGAGGCCCCCCCAGACCCAAACCACCCCCCCACACACCCGTTACATTTTTATCATTTTGTGAAAAACAGCAGCCCCCTCCAGACCCTGGTGGGGCTTTCAAGATCATTCCCAGCAAGAAAATTAGAAGCTTTCTTCCCTTCAGCACCCGGGTGGACTATTTACAGGAGTCGCGCTCAGCTGTACGGCAGTCGTGTGTCTGGACTTAGCACTGAAGTAAGTCGGTCACTTTTCTGCTCCGTTTCAACTTCTGAGCTAAACATCTCTGTGGTCCCGGCAACTTCTTGTGCGCATCTTCCGGGCACTCACGTTCCTGCCCTTCTGTTGGGGAAGAAAATGGTCACTCTTGTCATTTAAAACAATGTTCACAGCCAGCTCTGTTCTCCCAAACCCAACTCCGACTCCCGGGAGGCAGCTCCAGAAAGTGAATCTGGAGATTTGAAACGAGCCTCAAGATCCTGCGAATGCTGCTCTTGTTCTTTAAGCGGTTCTTACTTCTTAGTTTTTGAAAATTAAATGTTGTGTCTGTTGAAAGGAAGGTTTGGGACCGATTTCTAAGACATTCAAAAAGAGAAAATCCGCACACAATACACACCTCGTCGCCAATTAAAAAGATGGAAAAGTTTAGAATTTAGGGGTGCCCACTCAGGAAGTCCTTTGGGTCTTAAAAACAGTGTGTGCGGGGCCCCACTGACCCCCAAGAGGACCCGGGCCAGCTGAGCCCAGGGTGTCCCTGTGAACCCCCCCAGGAGACCAAGCCGGCGGGCACCCGGGAGCCAGCCTCTGCCGACCCCCACCCTCAGCCCAGCGGAGAAGGAATCACGACGCGGACGTACATCAGAAGCAGCCACCACGACCCCATCAAGGGAACTTTCCCCCCAGAGAGACAGAGGAGCCAAAGGCCTGACAGTCTGAGGACGAGCCAGGGGCCCCGGGACAAGTGTCCACACTCAACACTCAGACAAAGAGCGAAGGACTTGCCTCTGTCGCCTCCGCGGCGCCCGTCTTGGTGCCCCGAGTCGCCCGCGGTGGGGGCTCCCTCTGCCGGGCCGGCCCCGCCGCGTTGCTCGCCGGCCTCCTGGGCCTCAGGCTGCCGGGGGCGGGCTTGGCCACCGCGGCTTCCTCTTTCCGCACCTCCCCGGCGCTGTCCTCGGCCGCACCAGGCAGGGGCTTCTCATTCCGCCTCCCGGATCTCAGGCTGCGTGGGCTCCCGCGGGCCTTGCCCCGCGCTGTGGCCGCGCCCACCACATGCCGAGGCTCCGTCTCCGGGGCGGTCTTCACGGGCCGCTTCTCATTCCTCTTTAGTGTCACCTTCTCAGCGGGTGTAAGACACTCGGGGCTCCGGCCTTCTGCGTCGGTCTTGTCTGGCCGTCTGGCGCGCAGGGACCGCCCCTAGACAGTTCACAAGACAACCACAAAGAGCCCAGCGTGAGCGCTGCGGACCTCAAAAGCCCGCGTGGAGAAAACAAGCAAAGTGAATGCCAGGGGGAGCTCAGCTTGCACTGGGGGCCTCCCTGGTGGCACAAGGGGTCAAGCACCGCACTGTGAAGCTGTCTGCAGCCACTGCAGCATGAGTTCAATCCCCGGCCGGCCAGGGAGCAACCTACACGGCGCGGCAGACCTCTCCTGTCTCCCCGCTGCTCCCCTCACAGTGTACTTCAGTCAGTCTGCTGTTCTGTTCCCCACTCTGTCTCTGGGGAATCCTCTCACCCCCCGCATCTCTGGCCTGTACCCCAGCTCTTATATGCATAAATAAATAAACCTTTAAAAGAAATAACAAAGTCTTGGGCTGGCTACTTTTCCTGGGTGCCGCTGCATCCCCGTGCAACTCGTCCTCTCTGGCCTAAACCATAAATAGGAACGGGGGTGAAGTTCAGCCACAGCGTCTGAGTGTCAGATGTGTCAAAGCTGATTATCACGAGCAGCAAAGGCATATTTTCAAACAGCCCCTTTATTGGGCGGTGAATGGAGCCTAACTCCTCCAGAATATCGCTAAGGCTGCACAGGAAAAGCCGTTTCCGCACCATACTTTCTTCTGGGGCAGGCACCCTCAGCGCAGTCCTCTGGCCACACCCCAGAGGTGGTTCTAACACCGCCTCCTGCCCCCGCCCCGGCACTGCTGGTCGAGTTCTCAGAACACCCACTACAGGCCCCCCCAGCCTGTAGTGCTCATCCTGGCTGGTCACCCCAGTCCCCTCCTCTGCCTAAGTCCCCGTGGTGACCCCGGATGAAGCAGACACCTGCTTAGCAGCCAGGCACCGGTTACACCGAGCCATTTGCCAAAACAGAGCCGGCAGGCAGCTGCCCACAGCCGATGGCGCCCCAGCCCCGCCATCCCTCACCTTATCTGCACTGGGGGCAGCATGGCCCCCGCGGGGTCCGGCCGTCTGGGTCTCCACGCTGGGCGGGTCTTGCGCAGGCGCTGTCCTTTTCCCCACAGTCCGCTGACTTTTCTTCGCTGCCGGGGGCTGGGGAGGCTCGTCTGCCTCTCTGGGAGCTGTGCGGCGCTTCTTGGGGTCTGGCTTCTCCCCCATGGCCCCTGGCGGAGGGGTCCCTGAGCGCAGCCGCTTCGTGCCAGCCAGGCGTCCAACTGCCCTGCCGTCTTCCTGGGGGGCCAGGGAGGGCAGCCCCCCTCTCTGTGAATTCCCAGAGTTCCTGGTGCGTGCCAGCTCCTCCCTGGGTGGCCCTTTAGGGGCCCTCAGCGCTCTTCTGGGTATCCCGACATCGGGCATTTGCTGGGGGGTCTTGCTCACCTCCTCACCAGTGCTGCCCAGTGCCTGGGCCTGACCCAGCTCCTGGAGGCCCTCCTTACCGGTGGCCGTTGCAGCGAGAGGCCGCGTCTTCGCCTTGCTTGCCCTTGGCTGCCTCTTGCTGCCCGTCACGCTCTCCACACAGTCTACTTCCTGCATGGAGGCGACCCTCGCCGGTGCCAGGCCCGTGCCAGTGCCTTCGGGCTCGCTGGGGGTGTGCGTGCCTCTGCCTGCCATCCGCGAGGACTTCCTGGGAGCTGGGGGCGCCATCTGCACATGCTCCTCTGCGGGGGGCGCCCTGGCCCTACCCTTCTTGCTCGCTGGCATGCTTGGTTCCGCTGGTAGGGACTTGCAGGGCATCTCGGGGACTCTGTCAACAGCAACTGGCTCCTGGAAGAGCTCCGTGGAGTCAGCAGAGCCTCCTGGGGCCTGGGCCTTCCTCCTGGAGCTTCTCAGTGGCTTCTGGCCTCCCACGACAGTGCCCTCAGCGCCCTGCTTCTGCTGCACGGTCTCCTTTGGTGGAGCCATGTTCTCGTCACCCTCTCCTGGCTCTCTCTGTGTGCGCCTGGCTGCCGTGGCCGCCCGCGTGGGCTTCCTGGAAGCGTGGTGCTCTTCCTCCACACCCTCTGTCTCCGGAGGCGCCCTGAGCCGTCGGGGTCTAGCTGCAGGCACCGCAGGTTCTGGCAGTGGGGATGTGCGGGGGATTTGGGTGGTCCTGACTGTAGCCCCCGCGTCCCGGGCGCGGCGTGGGGGCTGGGAGAGCTCCATGGACCTGGCCAGGTCCTCCGAGGGCTGGGCCTTGGCCCTGGCTGCCCTTGGCTGCCTCTTACCTCCTGTTAGATTCTCTGCCTTGTCCGGTTTCTGCTCCGCTGTTTCCTGAGACAATTTGATGCGTTCATCATTGCCCAGGGGCTCCTGGTGCCCTCGCGTGGTTTTCCTCACTGTCCGCGTGGACTTCCTGGGGGCCGGGGGCTCCCCTTCTACGCCTGCACTCCTGGGAGGCGCCCCAAGCCGCCGCCTCTTGCTTGTTGGCATGACGACAGGTTCTGGTTCTGCAGATGTGCGGGGAATCTGGGCAGCTCTGTCACCAACCACTGGTGCCTGGGCCCTATCTGGGGTTCGGAAGAGCTCCGTGAGGCCAGCCAGGTCCTCCGAGGGCTGGGCCTTGGCCCTGGGAGTGCTTGGCCGCCTCTTACTGCTCTTTACGTCTTCTGCCGAGCCCAGGTTCTGCGCTGGGGTTTCCTGCCACAGTCCGGCCTCTTGGTCACCGCCTGCTTGCATTCCCTGTGCCAGTGTGGCGCCCCCTGGCGTGCCCGAGGGCTTCCTGAGAGCGGGGAGCTGGTCCTCTTTCCCCAGAGGTGTCCTGAGCCGTCCGTCTGTGCTGCTCGGCGTGCCCACTGGTTCCGGCTTGGCGGATTTACAGGGCATTTGGGTGGTTCTATCATTAATCACTGGCTCCTGAGCGGGACCTGGGGTTCGGAAGAGCTCCGTGAGGCCAGCCAGGTCCTCCGAGGGCTGGGCCTTGGCCTTGGGTGTTCTTGGTCGCCTCTTACTGCCCGTTACATCTTCTGCCAAGTCCTCTATATGTTGTGGAGTTTCCTGAGATGATAGAGTGGCCTCATCATGTCCTACAGATTCTGGGTGTGAGTGTGCTCTGCCCCCGGGCGTGCCCATGGACTTTCTGAGCGCGGTGGGCTCCTCTTCCAGGGCAACTTTGCCCAGAGGGGTCTTGGACAGTCTCCTCTTATTCCTGGGTGTGCTGACGGGCTCTGGTTCTGGAGACTCGCAAAGTGTCCTGGCTCTGACACCAGCCACTGGAGCCTGGGTGGGACCTGGGGTTCGGAAGAGCTCCGTGAGGCCAGCCAGGTCCTCCGAGGGCTGGGCCTTGGCCCTGGGAGTGCTTGGCCGCCTCTTACTCCTCTTTACGTCTTCTGCCGAGCCCAGGTTCTGCGCTGGGGTTTCCCGCCACAGTCCGGCCTCTTGGTCACCGCCTGCTTGCATTCCCCGTGCCAGTGTGGTGCCCCCTGGCGTGCCCGAGGGCTTCCTGAGAGCGGGGAGCTGGTCCTCTTTCCCCAGAGGTGTCCTGAGCTGTCTGTTTGTGCTGCTTGGCGTGCCCACTGGTTCCGGCTTGGCAGATTTGCAGGGCATTTGGGTGGTTCTGTCATTAATCACTGGCTCCTGAGTGGGACCTGGGGTTCGGAAGAGCTCCGTGAGGCCAGCCAGGTCCTCCGAGGGCTGGGTCTTGGCCTTGGGTGTTCTTGGTCGCCTCTTATTGCCCGTTACATCTTCTGCCAAGTCCAGTACATATTGTGGAGTTTCCTGAGATGATGGGGTGCCCTCATCATGCCCTACAGGTTCTGGGTATGAGCGTGCTCTGCCCCCGGGCGTGCCCATGGACTTTCTGAGAGTGGTGGGCTCCTCTTCCGGGGCCACTTTGCCCAGAGGGGTCTTGGACAGTCTCCTCTTATTCCTGGGTGTGCTGACGGGCTCTGGTTCTGGAGACTCGCAGAGTGTCCTGGCTCTGTCACCAGCCACTGGCACCTGGGCGGGACCTGGGGTTCGGAAGAGCTCCGTGAGCCCAGCCAGGTCCTCCGAGACCTGGGCCTTGGCCTTGGGTGTTCTTGGTGCCCTCTTACTGCCAATTTTATCTTCAGCCAAGTCCAGTTTCTGCTTGGCCCCTGGCGTTCCTGTTGGATGCCCAAGAGCTGGGTGACCGTCCACTTCCCACGGAGTTGTCTTGAGTTGTCTCTTTCCACCAGTTGGCATGTTGACTGGTTCTGCCTTTGGAGACATGCAGCGTACCTGGGTGGCTCTGTCACTACTTGTTGGTTTCTGGGCGGGACCTGGGGTTCGGAAGAGCTCTGTGAGGCCAGTCAGGTCCTCCAAAGGCTGGGCCTTGGCCCTGGGAGTGCTTGGTCGCCTCTTACCGCCAGTTATAACTTCTTCTGAGTCCAGCATCTGTTGTGGAGTTTCCTGAAATAACGGGGTGCCCTCATCATGCCCTACAGCTCCTTGGTGTGTGCGTGCTGTGCCCCCTGGCATGCCCGAGGGTGTCCTGAGAGCAGGGAGTCGGTCCACTTTCCCCAGAGGTGTCCTGAGTCGTCTTGGCGTGTCCACTCGTTCTGTTTTTGGAGATCTGCAAGGCATTTGGGTGGTTCTATTATTAATCACTGGTGCCTGGGCTCTAACTGGGGTTCGGAAGAGCTCTGTGAGGCCAGCCAGGTCCTCCGAGGGCTGGGCCTTGGCCCTGGGAGTGCTTGGTTGCCGATTACCGCCAGTGACGTCTTCTGCCGAGTCCAGTATGTGTTGTGGAGTTTCCTGGGATGATGGGGGGTCCTCCTCATCCCCAACAAGTTCTGAGTGTGAGCGTGCTCTGCCCCCGGGCGTGCCCATGGACTTTCTGAGAGTGGAGGGCTCTCCTTTCAGAGCTACTTTGCCCAGAGGGGTCTTGGACAGTCTCCTTTTATTCCTGGGTGTGCTGACGGGCTCTCGTTCTGGAGACTCGCAGAGTGTCCTGGCTCTGTCACCAGCCACTGGAGCCTGGGCGGGACCTGGGGTTCGGAAGAGCTCCGTGAGGCCAGCCAGGTCCTCCGAGGGCTGGGCCTTGGCCCTGGGAGTGCTTGGCCGCCTCTTACTCCTCTTTACGTCTTCTGCCGAGCCCAGGTTCTGCGCTGGGGTTTCCTGCCACAGTCCGGCCTCTTGGTCACCGCCTGCTTGCATTCCCCGTGCCAGTGTGGTGCCCCCTGGCGTGCCCGAGGGCTTCCTGAGAGCGGGGAGCTGGTCCTCTTTCCCCAGAGGTGTCCTGAGCTGTCTGTTTGTGCTGCTTGGCGTGCCCACTGGTTCCGGCTTGGCAGATTTGCAGGGCATTTGGGTGGTTCTGTCATTAATCACTGGCTCCTGAGCGGGACCTGGGGTTCGGAAGAGCTCCGTGAGGCCAGCCAGGTCCTCCGAGGGCTGGGCCTTGGCCTTGGGTGTTCTTGGTCGCCTCTTACTGCCCGTTACATCTTCTGCCGAGTCCAGTACATATTGTGGAGTTTCCTGAGATGATGGGGTGCCCTCATCATGCCCTACAGGTTTTGGGTGTGAGCGTGCTCTGCCCCCGGGCGTGCCCATGGACTTTCTGAGTGCGGTGGGCTCCTCTTCCAGGGCCACTTTGCCCAGAGGGGTCTTGGACAGTCTCCTCTTATTCCTGGGTGTGCTGACGGGCTCTGGTTCTGGAGACTCGCAGAGTGTCCTGGCTCTGTCACCAGCCACTGGCGCCTGGGCGGGACCTGGGGTTCGGAAGAGCTCCGTGAGGCCAGCCAGGTCCTCCGAGGACTGGGCCTTGGCCCTGGGAGTGCTTGGTCGTCTCTTACCACCAGTTATAACTTCTGCTGAGTCCAGTATCTGTTGTGGAGTTTCCTGAAATAACGGGGTGCCCTCATCATGCCCTACAGCTCCTTGGTGTGTGCGTGCTGTGCCCCCTGGCATGCCCGAGGGTGTCCTGAGAGCAGGGAGTTGGTCCACTTTCCCCAGAGGTGTCCTGAGTCGTCTTGGCGTGTCCACTCGTTCTGTTTTTGGAGATCTGCAAGGCATTTGGGTGGTTCTATTATTAATCACTGGTGCCTGGGCTCTAACTGGGGTTCGGAAGAGCTCTGTGAGGCCAGCCAGGTCCTCCGAGGGCTGGGCCTTGGCCCTGGGAGTGCTTGGTTGCCGATTACCGCCAGTGACGTCTTCTGCCGAGTCCAGTATGTGTTGTGGAGTTTCCTGAGATGATGGAGTGGCCTCATCATGTCCTACAGGTTCTGGGTGTGAGCGTGCTCTGCCCCGGGCGTGCCCATGGACTTTCTGAGAGTGGAGGGCTCCCCTTTCGGAGCCACTTTGCCCAGAGGGGTCTTGGACAGTCTTCTCCTATTCCTGGGTGTGCTGACGGGCTCTGGTTCTGGAGACTCGCAGAGTGTCCTGGCTCTGTCACCAGCCACTGGAGCCTGGGTGGGACCTGGGGTTCGGAAGAGCTCCGTGAGGCCAGCCAGGTCCTCCGAGGGCTGGGCCTTGGCCCTGGGAGTGCTTGGCCGCCTCTTACTCCTCTTTACGTCTTCCGCCGAGCCCAGGTTCTGCGCTGGGGTTTCCTGCCACAGTCCGGCCTCTTGGTCACCTCCTGCTTGCATTCCCCGTGCCAGTGTGGTGCCCCCTGGCGTGCCCAAGGGCTTCCTGAGAGCAGGGAGCTGGTCCTCTTTCCCCAGAGGTGTCCTGAGCCGTCTGTTTGTGCTGCTTGGCGTGCCCATTGGTTCCGGCTTGGCAGATTTGCAGGGCATTTGGGTGGTTCTGTCCCTGGAGACCATCGGTCCTTCTGCAGGACCTAGAGTCTGGAGGTGACTCTGGGGGCTGGCCAGGGTTTGCTTGGGTTCTGCCTGGTGTGGTCTCTGGAGCCCAGTCACATCTGTTCCTCCCCACGGCAGCTCTGATGTTCTTCCTGATCTCACAGCCGTCGTCGCTTCAGAACTTTCTTCCAATTTGATGCTTTTCTTACATGTTTCAAAAGACCTTTCACCTGCCTTCACCTCCCCGTCTAGTTTCTGTTCCTGGCGTGGTGTTTTCCTCTGTGGCGTCCCCCAGGTGTGCTCAGCACCAGGGGGGTTCGCGTCTCCGGGCCCACACTCAGCGGCTGCCATCTGCACAGCCCCAAGCTCCGCAGACCTTCTGGCCTTGCTAGAGCCCGATGCTGCCTCCAGAGGCTTCGTCTCCCACCTGGGACTTATCCCAACCCCTGCCATTTTACAGATGCTCCTGCGTGTTGTCACAGTGTCATCTTCCCTTGCTTTGGTGCACTGTCGTCTTAGGACAGGACTTGCAAAACTATCAGATGGGCGTGTTGCCGCGTCCTGAGCGCTGAGGAACAAACTCTCTTCTGTAGGAAATGAAAACACAGAAAACATATATTCACCGCATTGTAGTCACAATATAACGCCCAGCTCTGATGACTCAGCCTGTGCAGGCACGTGAGGCTGCATCCTGCTTTCAGGGAGTCACACACACAAGATCACGCTCTGGTGACGTGGGTGGACCGTGCACACAAGGGCAGCCATCAGAAGCTGCAGCAAGTGAAGAAAAAACATGCGTTGTGAAGGGGCTGGAGGACGGCCAGCATGTCTCAGAGGCCCGGACACACGCTGCTTCTTCCAACGTGAAAGCCAACAGCTACTTCTTCAGCCATCACCAGGGCGGTGACCCAGCACACGCCGAGCGCACTCAGGCCGCACTGCCCAGAAACGCCTCCCTCTCGGCCTGTGCAGCCAGCTGTGCCCTCGGGGACTGGCCTCGGGGGCCAAGCCACAGGAGAGCCGCACAGATGCCAGCTGCCCTCACACCATGCAGGCGGGCATCCCTGGCAGCAGGGCCCATGCCGAGCACCTTGTTGGCTGTCCCCAGAGGTGACATTTAGTTTGAGTGACGTGCACACAAGCGTGATGAGAAGTGCTTACCCCCTCCTCACCAGAGAATGCAAGGAAGGCGCGTCTGTAAGCATATTCAGAGCGTGCCCCTTCGGGCGCAGGCCACAGAAAGCCAGGCTGAGTGTCCAGCAACGCAACAGGGCAGAGGCTGGGAGGCGCTCACGAGGAACGCGGCGAAAACGCAGTGGCTGCCGTGAAGGAAAACAGTGTCCTCCAAGCTCCCGCCAGGGCGTCATGGGCTGGGAGCAAAGCGAACCCACCGGAATCCCCCGCGGCGCGCATCAGGGACTTTCCTCCCGCGTTAGGCTCTTGAAACGTTTCTCCAAGCAAATCCTTGGAGTCGGGCCCGGAGCGCGCAGCTTGAGGCTTCTCTCTCGCCGGGGTCTTGAACATCTCGGTGAGCCCTGTAACGGGGAAATATTGGGGGGCGATGAATGTGCAGTTTCCACATGCAAACAGCCATGGGTCCTCGCAGACGGCAGGTGGCGACGGGCTGGCGTCCAGCGCAGGCCCGGGGAGCAGGGAGCTGAGTGGGGGACGCTTGCTCGTGTGCAGGGGCCACAGGACGCCAGGCCCAGCTCCTCTCTGCGTTTCCTCTTAGAAAGAAAATGAAAAGGGGGCCCAGGCCTGGAGCCCTCGAAGTCACCCCATCCCTAGTCTCCCCTCCGCACCCCAGAAACCAGGCGCCCTCCGGCAGCCTCAGAAGACCTAGCTCTGCATTTCATGCACAGCACAACGTCTCCAGTGTTGGCGGCAACATGGGCTGCTGGCTCTCAGCACTCCGAGGAAGCCATCTCCTCATTCTCCATGAAGACGCAGGGACTGAATCTCAGGGGGACGAGCCCCAAAGCACGTTGGTGGCAGGAGGGGCCGTCCCGAACGACTCCCGCTCCCCTTTCCTCGTTCCTGCCTCAGTGGACCAAGGCCCCGAGGCGTCCTCTGCCACCAGTTTGGGGAAGCAGCCACTCGCTGCCCCCTCCGACCCCTCCCAGACGCCCCTCGGGGGCCAGGCTCGGTCTCCAGCACTCACAGGAGGTCTGTCAGCAGAGCAGCTTCCAGAGGTGGGCGGGGAGGGCACTGCCTCACGAGCCGAGATGCCTCACTGTCTGTTTATCTTAAAAATGCCTTGAGCATTTCCCTCCAGTGCACCTCACAAGCGGAGTAGTGTCTCCGTGCATACAAAGTGCAAGGACACGCGCACCCAGAGGGTGGGGTGCGGCCTTCCCTCCCGGTGCACAGCTGGCCACGCTGTGTGTGTGTGCGCGTGCTAAGTAGTGATCCTGCTGTGAGCTGGTGGGAGCGGCCGTCCTTACCCAGGGGATAATACAGCAGCTCTTCCATCTTGAAGCCCGCCCTGATTACAAGGTCTCCCCCATCCCCAAGCGCTCCCGTGGATGCCACTGGTTAAAATACGCAGGGGACTCCAAAGCCCGGGTGCCAGCCCCGGTTCTGACCCAGTGCTGTCAACCTCGCTTTCCCTGAGGGGCATCAGTGCACACATGGGCTCGCTCTGCATGGCTAAAGGACATCTCACCGGCTTTCCTTTCAAGGAACAGCTGTGCCACGGAGAAGGGAAGGGACACCCTGAGGCGAAACACTGCTCAAGCTGAGGCTCCTGCCCTGGACCCCTGTCGGCCCAGAGCACAGGAGCGCAGGAGCGCAGCTCGTGGGCTGGTGCTGTGCAGGGACTGGCCTGGCCTGCCAGGCTGCCGCCTCCTCCTGAGACGTCGGGACCCCAGGGCGCTGACAGGTGGTTTATTCTACGGTTCCACCCACAGCAGACAAGAGACATTATCCCTGCACACGTATGTATGTGCACAGACGCACATGCACAGATGCACACACACACACACACACTGCACATCACAGCACGGGGTGGGGAGAGCCAGCTCTGCTTTACCTGAAAGGTCCTCACTGAAGTCTGCTCTCCGGCTGAACACCAGGTGGCTCAGCACCCTGTGGGGCCGGGCGGGGCCGCTGACCCTCTGGAGCTGTGCCCTCCCAATGGTGATGGTGCAGGGGGAGTTGGCGTGGCCAGTGCTGAACTGGGGCAGGTGCATGCCGCCCGCAGCCGGCTTCTGCAAGAAAGCGACAGAGCAGATGAGAGTCAGAGTGGACGCCCACCGCGTTCCCAAACAGCAGCGAGCAGCTACACTGGGTGCTGACGTCGGGGTGCGGGTGCCTACCTTCGGGGTGTGGGCCTTCCTGGGCTTCTTGTGCACCTGTCTCTGTGGGGGCTTCGCGGCTCTGACCTGTGTTTGCTTGGCACCGAGTTTGACCACGTCTGCCCACGACTTGGCCACTGGCAGGGAGGAAAATGTTGCAACTTCTCATGACCAGCCCCCAGGGGGAGGTGACCCGTACACACCCGGTGCCCCAAAACAAACCCAGCAAGTTGGCCTCGGAGGCGCCGCTCCTTCTCCTGGAGCAGATCATCTGTAGGACGCCCTGCCGCCCGCGCCCCAGGGAGGCCCTCCGCGAAGACAAGCCGCTGCTCCTCCTCCTGCTCTTGGGCGTGTGGGTGGCGTGAGGGGATCTGCCTTCCCCAGGGGCGATGGCCGCCTCGACGGACTGACGACGAGGACCCCTGGTCACTGGGGAAGCCTCCCCAGCATTCTGGGCTGCAGGGCTCGCAGGTTCCAAATGCATTTCTGAAGCAGCTTCCCTTGCATGGAGTTGAGGCTGTTCCTACAAGATGCAAACGCCCTTAAGGATCCCCCTACAAGGTCGTGTCTGGGGTGGGGCCCAGAAAGTTACTTGTTGAAACACCAAACGACTTTCTACCACCGTGCCTCAGCCAAGCGCAAGGGAAAGGTAGGAGTGTCGCCCTCCTTTAGGGAAAAGAAATAGCCTGTGGTGTCTCGTCCCCTTTGGTCTATACCCGAGGAGCCGGCGTCAGGCCGGATGGAGCCCAGACACTGCTGCGCGTCATGGGCAGTGGGCAGGATGTTCCTCCCTGGAGACCAGCCAACAGGAGCAATAGCCCCGGGGCAGGAAGCTCAGGGTTAGGAGTTTCCAGATGATGCTGGAAACAGGTGTCGAGTTCCCTTTTGCCTCATAATGCTCAGACACAAAACCAGGAGGCAGGGGTCGTGAGGTGCGAGGAGGCCTCAGGAAAAGCCACAGGACTGCAGACCCCGTGCTGGCCAGCCCTGGTGGGAGGCCAGGGCTCCACCCCAGCCCCCAAGCGAGTGACTCTCCCCATTAAAGGAAAAGGCTTCTGGGCCCACCTGGGCAGGCGCTGGGAAGGTCGCGCCGGTACCTGGGAGAGATGCCGGCAGCTCAGCTCACCTTGATGATTTTCTTCAGGACGGCGGGAGTGTGGGGCGCCAGAGACCTCCTCCTCACGGGCGTTTCTCCTCGCTTCAGGGGTGTGTTAGGAGGTAAGTTCTCGTCGAATAATTCAGGTCTTAGCCGACCACCAAAGGAGACCCGCCTTCTCTTCAGAGCTGCTCCCTCCATCCTACCTACAGTCAGGAAGACAGATGTGGCGGGGGGAAGCCATAGCACAGGGGCTGACTCCGATCACCCCAAGGCAGACCCTCCTCAGGGCCCTAGATGGCGGTGCACCGGCAGGGCTCTCGGAGGCGAGGCTGCGAAGCTACAGCTGCTCCAAGAGCCCCCGGGGGATGCGCCCAGCGTCACTGAACCCCCAACTCCAGTATGGCTTCTCTAAAATGTTGAAATCTGCTGTGGACGTGGTTCAGTGACTTTCTGTGGGGGCCCTGCCCAGACCTGCCGGTGGGTGGAACACGGTAGAGGTGGCCCCACGGAAGCCCCTGGACGCTCCAGGAGCCCAGCCCTGAGGCACAGCTCCACCCCACACTGTGACTCAGGCTGCGTGTCCCCAGCTGCAAGATGGAGACCGAGGGCCAGGCCCTGCACGGCCCCAGGCCCTGCCGAGGACAAGTCCCCTCTGGACAGCACATGGGCCAGTGACGGGCAGGTGTACTCAATGGGGCTGGTCCAGGGCCAATAAGAAACCCTGAGAGGAGAGACTAGACATCCAGAGCCAGCCCCAGATGCAGGGATTTCCAAAGGGTTCCTGGGCTTGACCTTGAGGAGCAAATGCCCCGGAGCAGACCCTGTGAACAGCAGCTGCTGCTTCACCTCCTGCCTTGATGTCCCTCAGGCCCCGGGCCACACTCCATGCACAACCCAGCCCCTCTGGAGCCCGGTGAGGTCTCGGGGCTTGGGTGAGCGGATGAGTGTGGGGCAAGCCTTGCAGGCCCCCACCAAGCAAACCCTTCGTGGGGGGAGGGGGCCCGGGCACTCGCACAGAGACGCGGGGGTCAGCGGCGGGGAAGGTAAACTTAAAGCTGGATAAACTTACTGATGGGATCGGCAACGTCGCTGAGGCTGGCGGGGCTGAGGCCAGGCGGCCCCAGCTTCTCAGGCTGCTGGAGGGGGTCCTTCTGAACCCTCCTTTCGAGCTGGACGGGCAGCGGAGCTAAAACCGCTGGACGCGGCGTCCCGGGGTCTGGCCCGAGGCCCGCAATGCGCGCGGGGCTGCTCTGCCTCCTCTTGGAGAGCGCGTCTGGGGTCGGTTGAGAGCTCTCGGCACGCGCCCCCTTCGCGGGTGTCTGACCTCCAGGTAGGAACGTCCAGGGAGTAAACGCTCCCTCCTCGGCCCCGAGGCCTGGGCTCTGACCCTGACTCTCAGACGCAGCAGCAGCCAGGCCAGCCGGGTCTTCACGCCGACGCTTCCGTGAGGAATTCTGTTGAGAGTGCGGCGTCCCAGGGGTCCCAGGGCGGGGACAGGCCGGGCTGGCGGCGACCCCGAGGTGCTGCCCGGACCCCTCCTGGGCCCTCTGCTCCCCAGCCTGGCTGCTCCCTCCTTCTCCCCCAGCAGGGTCTGCCTTGACCTGGGAGCTTTGCCCCGACTTCCTTCTGGATTTCAGGGGGGCCGGTGCTTGCACCTCAGCCTGTAGGCCACCGGCACTTTCTGGGGCTTCCGTGCAAAGCCTGTGCGCCCCTGACTTTCTCCGCTCCTGTAGAACATTTTCCTTCTCTGACTTCACGTCTAACTCTTCCTTCATGGACTCATAAAGCCTCCTAAAGGGAGATGCGCTCTTGCTCCTCCTCGCCGGCCGCTGTGCGGGGGTCCCCACCCCTGCGCCACAGCTCCCCGGGGGCACACTGGCTTCTGCCCTGGCAGGGGCACTTGCTGCGGGTCCGCCGTGGCCTCGGGGCAGCTCTGAGCCCTCGGGCGCGGGACCCGCATCCTCCACACTCTTCCCACGCACCAGAGGCCTCCCCGGGACGCTTCCTTCCGTGAGACTTGAAGGGGCATCAGGCTCTTGAAAGCTCCCACCTGGGCAACGAGTTACAAACAAGAGACACAAGTTCAAGACCTTCCCCTCTACAGTACTCTAAGTTTAAAATGGTTTCTACTTGTCTTCATGAACCTGCTTTTACGTAACCTAGGATCACCTGCCCAGCGCCCCCAATGTGTGACCTCCTGACACGAGTATGGTCTCCACCTGAGCCATCACGGCCGCCTCCTGGGGCCACAGGAGGATCGGTGGCTCTCAGCCTGCTCGGAGCTGGGCCGGGGTGAGCCGGACTGAACACAGACCCCCCGCCAGGACTACAGGCACATGCACTCAGGGAAAAATTTCAGCAGCTGTCCCTACACCTGCTGCGCTAAGCCACACTACCAACTAGACTTCTGGAAGCAGGAGTGACACTCGTGTTCCTGTTCTCCCCTTTGCCCCAGTGTCCCCCGAGAACTGGTCTTGCAGGGCTCCCAGAACAAAACCAAAGCCCCACTAACCAGAGTCAGAAGAACAGCCAGATCTTGAGACTCGCCGCGTGGATTCCTGTGGCAAAGTAAGAGCACGGTTAGCTGCGTCTCCGAGACTGACGGCTGCGATCGCCAAAGTGCGGATATCGTCTCGCTCCAACTGTCCTCGTGACTTCTCGGAAATGCCCGAGACCTCTGGGCGCGGCATCGCGCACAGGGAAGTGTCTCTCAGCTCATTTAAAAGAGGGACAGAACAGAAGCAAACCGAAGCTCAAGGGACCAAGCCTGGGCGAACTTGTAGGGCTTGCTCAAACTTCTCAATCATCATCAAATGAAACACCCAAAGCTACAAAGAGACACGAGCTTCCCTGGGAGTGTGACCCTAACAGAGGCCCAGAAGCATTGACTCTGCGCTGTCCTGATAGACACCTGGTCCCGGACCTGCGGCCTTAACATTGGCCCAAAATTCTCCCAGAGCCACTCATGCGTGGATCTGCTTGCAAACACTTGGTTCGGAGAAGCCCCCCTATAATCCTGTGGGTGAGGAGGCCCTCTCGAGACAGGCCCCTCTGACTGGGAGACTCGAGTGCATCAGGGAGCCCTGAAGTTAAGGCAAATCCAGACCCCCAGGCACTGCATCCCCAGACACCAGCCGAGCACCCTGTCTGGGACGCCAGGAATGGCACCTTCATGTCTTTACAGTGACTTTCAGGTCTGGGGGACAACCAGAGTAACACGCGTGGGAGACACAAGAGGAGTCGCGTGACTCGAAGAGAAGAGGTGTGCCTCGGAGCGATTAGAGGGGAAAAGGTCACACAATACTTCCAAGGGCAAATAACCGAACTTGAATCAATGTCAAATTCCCTGGCAGCTAAGGCTCAGCTGTCCACGTGAGCAAACAGTTTCTACTTTCCTGCCTGAAGCTGACCAAGAATCTTCTAACAATAAAAATGAATAAAAAAATTAAAAACAAAAGCCCATATTTTTATATTATACTTAACATCCATAAAAATCACCGTTAAATTGCTACAACGTTCTAGCTTGTTATTCTTCATCATAATCTAGATAAGGATGACAAGGCGGTGACAGGCACGGATCAAACTCCCGCGCTTTGGTTGGTTTCCGCACCCCCGGTACAAGTCACGACAGCGCCCAGTGTGGGGGGCACCTGGAGAGCTACCTCCCTCCCCCTGCTGGGCAGCAGGCTCCACACAGAGGCCACCCCTCCAGGGAAGCGGCCACACAGCAGGGACAGACCTCACCCTCACGTGTCCCCAAAACATTCAGGCCTGTGAACCCCAACCTGGTCACCTGAGACGAACACGGGGCTTCCGAGGCGGACAGGCGGAAACTCTCAGGATTTACCCGAAACCTACTAAAAGCTACGGAATCTCCAAGAGTGGGCCCTGACTTGTTTTCATAAACTGCCATTTGGGTCTTTTCTATCCAGACCGGGCCAGATGCTCTCACAGGACACTGCTCGGGAACCTTCTCCTGGTTGCAGGTCACCTGCTGTTGGGCAGTGACTGGGGGCAAAGGAGTTGCCAGATAACAGAGCCCCCAAATCCGATGGGGATGTTTGCAAGAAGGGGCATCACAAGTCACCCCCGGAGTCTTTGGGGCAGAAGTGTAAGACTGACCTCGGGCTCTCATTTTGAATAGCAAAGATTTTTATATTCTCTTTAATAATATTCAAGGCTCAACTTGTTGTCATGCCTTAGCTGTGTCCCCCCTCATGGGAAGTCGTCCTCCCTGAGGGGGAGCACTCGTGAAGCGCACGCCCTGTATTTCACATGGCCAAGAGGACCGGGCCCCAGTGGACAGAGCCCCTCACCTGCTCCCGCCTCTGTCCAGGCAGGCCAGCCAGGCTGCTTTCATCCTGCCGACTCTCGTCTTCATACCTGGGGGCAGAACAGACAGGGTGAAGATCTGGACCGCAGGGAAAGTGTAGGCCCGCTCAGCGGCCCAGGAGAAGAGCGACCTGCAGACTGTCCAAGGCGCCCCTTATCTGGGAACCAAGTCAGCGTCAGAAACTGCTTTCACCCTAGAAACAGGGAAGTGGCCTGGAGATTCCTCTGGAACCCCAGTGTCGGAGGCTGAGGGCACAGAATCACCTCTGAACACCCACGAGTCTGTACGGCTCACCAGCACCCCTGCACACTTCCACGTGCAAGCCGACTGCGCATGCTGCCAGCTCCGAGGGCGTCAGATGGCCAGGAGGCCACCAGCGGGCCGAGGGGGCCCGGCCCATCACCGTGACCCCTGAGTATGGGGCCACCGCAGGTACACTGCCACCCCAGCGCGGCAGGATCTCCTGCTCTCCGCTTGTGTCCTGCCGGACAAGGGCAGGCCCACCGCTCAGCACCACCAGCGAGCGCACGCTGCCGAGGCCAGGCCAGCCTTGCTCCGCAGAGGGCACAGCTTTCTCGCCAACGCAGAGGGTGGGATTCAGGAACCCCTAAGGGAGCTGCGGCCCCAGCCCCGGACCTGTCTGTCATTGCAGTAGGGCCCAGAGGCAGTCCCTTCCTGAGGCGCTTCCCAGCCTGCCAGGGGGTCTCAATCATCTCAACCTCAGCAGCGAGCTCAGGGGGCAAAGAGCTACAGTCACAATTCCCATCAAATGCGCCTCACCTAGACGTTGATGCTCAATAAACACCTTTAAAATGAAGGAAGATTCCCCTAAAGTAGAGCGGAAAAAACGGCCGGGGAGCTGAAACAGCGCCCTAGGAAATCTCTACTTAATAAAGTAAGGGTGGGAATGAAGGCAGCGTTCTGCACAGAGGAAGGGACGACCCCGCCCCGTGCCGTCCGCGGAGCCATGATTTACACTCAGAGACACCAGCAGGATGAAGTTACAAGGACGGGGGAGATGGGCCGGCAGCCACAGCCAGAGGGAGCCTCAGCGGCGGCGGGGACACACGCAGCCAGACTGCTCGGGCCCGGCACACTTTATCGGGACTGAGGAGCCGATGTGCTGTCGAGAAACTAGATCCATTATGAACAAAAGTGTATTGACAGCTGGATCCAAGAGACAAGCGAACCTTGGGGGTTCTGAATCGCTGAGAGCAGCGCGGTAGGACACGTCAGCGCTCAGCAATGACTGCAGGATACGAAGGGAGCAGACATTTCAAAATGGTCAGTGCAGACCTTCCTCCAGCAGGGGGTTATATTTCAGGGTGAATTACAGGTCACTGACTTTATACACAGCGGTACAACCTTTATTTCTAAATATGGAAAATAAAAACAGAACTAAGAAACAAGAAGGAAGGGAAAAAGATCTCAACGTGTGATCTCAACTTAGCTGTCTGGGTCCTGAGAGTCAGGGAGGGAAGTCAGCAAGATTCCTGAGCCGGGGACTTAGCCCAGAGCACACCCAGGACAGCGCCTGGCACCCTGAGCAACAGAATCTACTTCTCACCGCCATGGAGGCTGCATGGGGGATGGAGGGGTGAGGGGTGGGCATCCGCTGGCCTGGATCCTGCCCAGCGGGCTGCCCTGCTGTTGCTCTTCCCCTGGCATCCCTCTGAGCGCAGCGCTCCTGGGGCCATGTCCTCACAGCCTCTCCCAGGATGCCCGTCATATTGGATTAGGACCACCCCCCCCTCACCGCCTCCATCACCAGACTTCCATGGGAACTGAGGGAGCTTGGCTCAGTCTGATCGTCACATTGGACTCCAGTGCAGAGAACTGATCGTGACACAAACTCCTCCAGGGCTCTGCTGACTTATCAGGGAAACACCTGCAGTTTCAGCTGCCACACAAGGAAAGCTCCTACAGCAGCAGGTGGGCCTGCATAGCACGGCTGCAAGCTCGGGAGACCTCATGGGGTCACACAGGCCTGAAGGTGAGGCCATTTCAGATTAAGAATGCGTGCTGGACATGACACCTGAAACCGCTGGCGCCTACCACGGAGGGCTCCGGGCGGGTGCATGGCAGAGTCAGGCCTGTGTATGGATAGTCCTAGGCCCTGCCTACCTGAAAGATCGATCGACAATAGTTATGACATCTCCATGCCTCAGCTGCACGGCTCCATCAATAGCAGATCCATTCACTTGTGTTGGATTCGTGGAACTGAAATTAATCAATGTTACCTGCAGGTAGGAAAAAGGGGGGAAATTGGTAAAATTGGTAAAAAAAAAGGGGGGAAAGAAAGAAATATTTTAAAAAGCATCTTTAAGAGCCCACTCAGGTGCAGGGGTTAAATACAGCACTATCAAGCTATCACCAGCTACTGAAGCACAAGTTCCATCCCTGGCCAGGGAGCTACCCACAGGGCGCAGCAGACCTCTCCTGTCTCCCCGCTGCTCCCCTCAGCAGTAGATTTCAGTGGATCTGACTGTTCTGCTCCCCACTCTGTCTCTGGTAAATCCTCTTACTCCCCCGCATTTCTGGCCTACACCCCAGCTCTTGTGTGCATAAATAAATATTTAAAAAAAAAAAAAAAAAAAAGGGCCCACTCACCTCCTGTTCGCTGATCTCTATCTTGCAGTGCTGTTTGGACACCACGGGGAGCTGGATGCGAATGTCACATTCGATGGCTCTAAATTCAAAAGAATTAGGTTTTCCAAGTTGTGGCATTTAAAAAAAAAAGTATCAGTGCCTCAAATAAAACAGCCCTTGGCGACCCATCTGCTCTGTATTTGTAATAACATAAAGAAATAACAAGTGGGGTCATGAGGACGAGCTTCACATTTTGCAAACAACCCTCACAAGGACGGGGAAGCAAGGCTGTGCTCAGGAAAGACGGGTAGCCACGTCCAGGCCGGGCCTGACAGCTGGAGCCAAGCAGGGGGGTAAAGACAGAGTCCCCGTGTTCACACCGGCTGGAGGAGCTGAGGAGGGAGGAGCTCGGGGTGTCTGTGGAGGGTGGGGGTGGTGGGTGAGGGTCCCACCACACAGGCCGCCTGCTCGGACATGACAGGGGTCTGATGAACAAGGCTGTTGCCCTGCAGGGACCGACGACACCCACCCAAGCAGCAAGCAACACGGAGGAGAATGTGCTCCCCACGCTAGAGGAAGGCCCCCCCATTTCCGTTCCCAAGACCAGCAACCCTCCCTCCCAGCCGCTCCCTTCACGGCTCCTCTGTCTCGCCCGGGCCCCCATAAGGATGGGCCAGCACCGGGGACCAGAGCAAGGTGGGCTCGGGGACCACTGAGGAGCAGGGGAAGGAGGAGTGTCACATGCTGCTCCGACTAAGCAATTTTTGTTTTTTTTGCGGGACCCTCGCCGGTGGCCGGGGTTCGCTGGTGGCCGGGGATCGAACCGGCGCTGCAGAGGCCGCGGGCAGCTTGGCAGCCCAGCGCTCAACCGCTGCGCCCCCGGGGAGGCCCGTCTAGGCGTTTCCACCACATCAATTTTTAAGTTTTCACTTGATTAAAAGGAAACACTAAACTACGCAACGATTTCAAAACCCTGTTTCCGAGCAAGCAGCTCAGCCGACAGCCCCGGGAGGCCCCGCGCCGGCCTCCTGTCCCGCCGGGCCCGCTCCCGTCCCCGCCCGGCCCCGGCCCCGGCCCCGGCCCAGGCCCCGGGCTCACCTTCCGAACAGGCAGGCGCTGCGGCTCAGGGGGAAGGGGGGCCCGTCCGCGCCGCTCCTCCTGATGGTGACGATGCGTCCCGCGGGGCCCATCTCCGCGCGCGGCCCGCTGGCGCCTGGAGGCGGGGGCGGGCGTCCTGAGGCGGCCCGGCCCCGGCGCCCCCCGCCGCCCTCGCCTGCCCCGAGGCCCCAGGCCGCCCGAGGCCGTCGCGCCCAGCGCCGGGGCGTCTCCCGGGGGTCCCCTGGGCCCGTCGGGCGCGGGGAGCCGGGGCCGGAGGCCGCCCGGGACGCGGGGGCAGCGGGCCCGGCCCGGGAAGCGCCGCGCGGGCCGCCCCGTCCCGCAGCCCCGGCCGGCCCGGCCCCGCGACGCCGGCGCCCCGGACCCCACGACGCCAGAGCCCGGCCCCGCCCGGCCGCCCGCCCGCCGCTCCCCGCGCGCCGCTGGTCCCCGCCCGGCCCGGCGCCCGCCGCTCACCCGGACGCGTCCCGCCGCCGCTGCGCCCGCCGCTCGTCGAGGACCCCGGCGCCCGCCCGCGCCCGCCGCCCGCCGCCCGCGCCCCGATTCAAACGCAAACAGCGATTCAAAGTTGGCGCTCAGCGGGGCGATTGGGCGCGGCGCGGCGGCCGGGCCAATGGGAGGCGGGGGCGGGGCCCGGCCTGCGCGGCGGGCCAATGGGCGGGCGGGGCGGGGCGGGCCGGCCCCGGCGGCGGGCCAATGGGAAGGCGGGCGCCGGGCGGCCCCGCGGCGCCGGGGAAGCGGCCCTGGGGTGCCCGCCCGCGGCCCGCAGGGGGAGGGCGCGCCCCGCCCGCCGAGCCGGCTCGCCCGGCACAGAGCGCGCGGGGGGGGGGGGGGGGGGGGGGACATCCCTGACAGGAGGCGCGCGGGGACACCCTCACAAGGTGCGCACGGGCAGCCCTGACAGGGTGGGCACGGGCAGCCCTGACACGGTGGGCACGGGCGGCCCTGACAGGGTGGGCACGGGCGGCCCTGACAGGGTGGGCACGGGCGGCCCTGACAGGGTGGGCGCGGGCGGCCCTGACAGGGTGGGCGCGGGCGGCCCTGACAGGGTGGGCGCGGGCGGCCCTGACAGGGTGGGCGCGGGCGGCCCTGACACGGTGGGCGCGGGCGGCCCTGACAGGGTGGGCGCGGGCGGCCCTGACAGGGTGGGCACGGGCAGTCCTGACAGGGTGGGCACGGGCAGCCCTCACACGGTGCGCACGGGCGGCCCTGACAGGGTGGGCGCGGGCGGCCCTGACAGGGTGGGCGCGGGCGGCCCTGACACGGCCCTGACACAGCCTCTGCTTTGTCCTCTCTGAGATACTAACCCTGAGCTCGTCTTTCTCTTTCACTTTCTTTTTCACGGCTGGAGTCTTGGGCTTTGGGAACCAAAATTTACTTGATCGTTACTCTGGCCCTGCACTCAGGCTTTCACCGCGTCCCTGTCAGAAGAACAGTTCTCCGGTTAAACCCTGGTGCACTGCAAAAAGTGGGTGCGTGCTGAAATAATCACCCCTGGATTCTTCTTGGGGCCACCTGGGCCGGGTGGGGCTTGGGGTGCAGTTTCTGTGGCCAGTGGGGTGGTGGAGGCGGAGGGCGTGGTGCCTGGGCTCACCCTCACCCCCGGAGCACGACTCTCTGTGACCAGAAACTGTGTTGGTGTTGGGGGCCCTTGAGGGGCCCTGACACCCTTCAGGGGCTCCTCAAGAAGACCTTGTTTCTAGCAACACGGGACTCTCCCTCCGTTTCACCCTCCTGAGTGTGGGGTGGCGCGTGCCTCGCGCAGAGCAGATGCGAGAGTCCAGCTGTCCTGCCCTGAGCGACATTACGGGGCTCTGCAAAAATATAAATAACGCTGTTCTTTTCACCTTTTCTTACAACACACATGTATTTCATAAAACAGGGTTTATGTTGACTCGGAACGGGCTCATCACGGCTGTCAAATGAATCGACACATGGAGTTCAAAACAATTCTTCGGTTGATGGCCACGGAAAAGTAAAACTCTCGGTGGTTTTCAAACAGCTTGAAAGAGCCTAACGGAAGCCCGAGACGGAAGAGTTCGAGCCTCCCTGCCGCCGGGGGAGAGCTGAGTCCCCAGGCCTCTGGGGGAGGGACAGATTGCTGGGGGCTCAGGGGAACCCCCCAGGACGGTCCATTCTTAACTGCCTGACAGGCTGACCGGGTCATTTAGATGTGGGGGTCCTATCGCCCTTCTGGGGGTCTTGCCGCTCTGCTCCCGCCCCCTTCACAAGGCCAAAGTAACCTCATCTCTGGGCAGCGCCTTGAAAGGCCCCTCTGCCACCGGGACCTCTGCCACCGGGGCCTCTGCCACCAGGGGAGACGGCTGCTTATCCTCAGGGCCGGGCCTGTGACTCTCGTGGGGCAGCCTGGTGAGAACTAGAAGGTGCCAGATTTCTTGTTCTCGAGAGAACAAGAAAGGATGAGAGAGAACAACAAGGATGGGGGGAGGGCGGGGGGACTGTCCCCGGCTCTGGTGAGGTGCTCCAGCAGTGGACAGCTCGACGGGCACAGACCTCGATCCAGTGAAGGGACCCGGGCCGCCCTGGCAGGGCTCGCCAGCGCTGAAGCTCCTCCCCAGGATCCCCAGAGGCTGACACAGGGCCTGGACTAGGCGGAGAGGAGGAGGGAGGCAGGACAAGGCTGGGCGGGATGGGGGGGCGGGGACTCGCCCACCTGGCCCACCTGGAGGGTTTTCAGCGCATCCGCGCAGACCCTCACGTCCACACAGGCTCCTGCTAAAATCAATCCCCAGAGTGTCCCCGAGAGCCTCCCGCCCGCGCCCTTCCTCCTCCGCTCCCGCGCCCAGCTCGCCCGCCGCAAACACAGGTAAGGCGCCCTGGCCAGGCCGCTCAGCTCGGCGCCCAGCCGCGTGTCAGGGGCGAGCTCCCCCGCACTGGGCGAGCAGTTAGTGTCTCCCTGGAAACTTTCACGCCGTTTGTACAGCCCTGTCATTCCGAATCTGTGGTCTAGCAGGGGGTGACGTGAGGGCCTCTGCGAGCAAGGCGCAGGGCGGGGTGACCCACAACTGTGTCTTCGTGGGTGGGGTCTCGCCACAGCACCCCCAGACAGCATGGCGGGGGTGCTCCCAGCCCACGGACGTCCTGGTTCCGCCAGGCCCGTGGCCCTGGGTCCCTCTGGGGCTACAGGTGGGGGTCGCTTCACCAGTGGGGGAGCCCTTAGCACCCCTACCCACCTCCATCTCTTATTCACCCCTCGGCTAGGCTCTGGGGAGACTATGGCCTCAAGGCGGGGGTGGGATAAGGAGGCCGGGGTGGTGCCAGGGTCCTAGGGAGCGGAGGGGTGGGGCGCACTCTTCCTCTGGAGGTTGGTTCCTCCTAAGCCAGGAGACCCCACGGCGGCTCCCCGGCTGCCTCCAGCTCCAGCCGCGACGCCCAGCACTGCCATCAGGGCACCCGCCGTCCTCACACGGCCCCCCACCCCATCCCGCCAGCCTGACGTGCTCCCTGGCATGGCTGGGTGGACCCAGTTCTCCAGGCTCTCCGCTGGTACCCCCTGCGCCCCCCACCCCCAGCTCCCAGATGACGCCTCCTGGGCCGCAGGGAGCCCCACCTGCCTCCCAGCCTGCGCCCCCAGTGGTTCCCGCACCCCCCTCCCCAGTCCACTCTGCGCCAGCTGTGAGGCCGCTCCTCCTCTTCCCCCTCAAGTTCCCTTCTCAAAGCCCCACTCTGAAGACAAAAGGGGGCGATGTGACCTCTGGGGCCTCAACTCCTGCCCCTCGGAGGGTCCTCACAGAGTGTGATGGTGCAGGTGCCGCGACTCCCGACTCACCCTCCACAGTAGGCTAATCACTTTCAGCAGAAGAGAATCCAGACTCCAGCTAGCACCTCCCAGGCGTCCTTGACCTTGGTCTCTGCCTTCTGAGCCTCCTGCCCCCAGGCCCCCCAGGCCTCAGCCACCTGAGCCTCCTTCCTCTAGGGGCCAGCTCCTCCCAGCCTCCGGATGCAGGGACTCTGCCCCTCGGAGGGACTCTCAGGGGCCAGCGCTGCAGACTTCCAGGACAGGGAGTGAGGACCCCTTGGAGGGGGATCCTCCCAGCTGCGTCCCACCAGCTAAGACCTGCTGTAGGAGGTGGGGAGGGGGGCTCGCCCCATGTGCCCCCTCAAGAGTGACAGCCCAGAAAGAGGAACCAGGACCCAGGCTTCAAAAAATATGAAAGAAATCTCTGGAGGGCATTCACTTACTTACTTTTTATTTAACGACGTTATTTTTCATTGACAAAGCAAATGCTGTTATGGTGTCATAGAACGTTTGGAAAATATACAAATGCACCAGGAAGAGAAAGTCACCCCAGGATGCACAAAAAAAGAATCATGTATTTGTATAGCGTCTGTTTTGCATAATAAGCATTACATCTCTGAGGGCACACACCATTTTATTGCTTATGCTTTCATTTAGCATTATAACAAGCGTGCTTCCTCACTCACTTTTGGTGACTATCACCTTGATAACTCTTTTCCCCATGTTGTTAGAACATGTAGTTTTCCCCCTAACATTGTATTATTGCAAATAATGTAGCAATAACACCTTGAGCAAAAACCTTGCTTTAATATAAAATATTATGTTCCGCGCTTACATCTCCCAAAATCAAGTTACTGGACCAAACACTATTTGCTTCACATCATTGAATTACTTGCTTTCCTAAAGGGCTAGCACAGCTCATCTACCCAATTCAGTGCTTGAACCCTGTTTTACTACCAGCTCTTTACATCCACATTTTAAATTCTCTGCTAATCTGATAAGCTGAGGATGAAATATGGTGTCAACTGGAATTTTAAAATAATGAGATAGAGCGAACACTTTTCTCTACCTCCTTGAAATTTTCGTTTTTTAATAATCTTTCCATGCCATCTGCCTAATTACTATTAATGTCTTCGTTTTTACACATCAATCTATTTAACATTTTAACATAAATCCACCATGTTCTGCAGAGTTAGTAGGTAGAATTTTAAACATTGAAATATTTAATGCCACTTGTTGGATTCCATGGATAAATGTGTGTGCACAATGAGACCCCCCAATTATCTGGGAAAACACCTTGTGTGGCTGACATCTGGGGCCACGGGGTGGAAAGCTGGCATGTTGTCTTCAAGGGTGCCCCAAAGGCCCACAGTAGAACTCCTAGAGAAGGGTCCCCTGAGTGTAAAACGGGAAAATAAAAGTAAGATAACTTTAAATAGGACACAGGTGCACCTTGGGCCCCCCCCCAACCCGATTGGACTCAGACCACTGGGGCACTGGCCTATCAACAGGCAGACGGCCCTGGTCCTGGACGCGGCATCTACCCCAATGAGGCAGTGAGGCCACCGCTCCTAAGGTCAACTCGCATAGAAGGAAACAACTGGAGGATTTTATTGCCTCTTGGTGTAAATGAAGTGTGAGTATTTTACTAGATAGCAATTGATCATGTAATTTAAAAGATTGTTCTGTACATTTCCAAATGCTTGAGT